TCAGGGCCACTGCGGCAATCAGGGACACTGCAGTGATCAGGGACACTGCTGGGACCACTTGTGCAGCAATCGGGGACACTGCGGCGATCAGGGACACTGTTGGACCACTTCTGCGGCGATCAGGGCCACTGCTGGGCCACTGCGATGATCAGAACACAGCTGGGCCACTTGTGTGGCAATCAGAAACACTGCTGGACTACTGCGGTGATCAGGGACACTTCAGTGATCAGGGGCACTGCTGGACCACTTGTCCGGCGATCAGGGACACTGCTGGGCCACTTGTGTGGTGATCAGGAACACTGCTGGGCCAATGTGGGATCAGGGGACACTGCTGGGCCAATTGTGTGGTGATCAGGAACACTGCTGGGCCAATGCGGTGATCAGGGACACTGCTGGGCCACTTGTGTGGTGATCAGGAACACTGCTGGGCCAATGCGGTGATCAGGGACACTGCTGGGCCACTTGTGTGGTGGTCAGGGACACTGCTGGGCCACTGCGGCAATCAGGGCCACTGCGGCGATCAGGGGACACTGCTGGACCACTTGTGCGGCAATCAGGGACACTGCGGTGATCAGGGACACTGCTGGGCCACTGCGGTGATCAGGGACACTGCTGGACCACTTGTGCGGCAATCAGGACAATGCTGGGTTACTTGTGCGGCGATCAGGGACACTGCTGGGCCACTTGTGTGGCGATCAGGGACACTGCTGGGCATCTGCGGCAATCAGGGACACTGCGGCAATCAGGGACACTGCTGGACCACTTGTGCGGCAATCAGGGACACTGTGGCGATCAGGAACACTGCTGGACCACTTGTGCGGCAATCAGGGACACTTGCAGTGATCAGGGACACTGCTGGGCCACTGCGGCGATCAGGGACACTGCTGGACCACTTGTGCGGCAATCAGGGACACTGTGGTGATCAGGGACACTGCTGGCCACTGCGGCAATCAGGGACACTTCTGGGCCACTTGTGTGGCAATCAGGGACACTGCTTGGCCACTGCGGCGATACTGCTGGGCCACTTGTGTGACGATCAGGGACACTGCTTGGCCACTGCGGTGATCAGGGACACTGCTTGGCCACTTGTGTGGCGATCAGGAACACTGTGACGATCAGGGACACTGTGGCAATCAGGAACACACTGCTGGGCCACTATGTGGCGATCAGGGACACTGACAATCAGGGACACTGCTGGGCCACTTGTTGGGCGATCAGGGCCACTTGTGGGCAATCAGGGCCACTTGTGGGCGATCAGGGCCACTTGTGGCAATCAGGGCCACTTGGGGGCAATCAGGGACACTTGGGGCAATCAGGGACACTTGTGGGGGGCGATCAGGGCCACTTATGGGCAATCAAAGCCACTTGTTGGGGCAATCAGGGCCACTTATTGGGGTGATCAGGGACACGTGGGGCAATCAAGGCCACTTTAGGGGCGATCAGGGCCACTTTAGGGGCGATCAGGGGACACTTTAGGGGCGATCAGGTGTCACTGAGGTGGAGGGCAGTTAGCTACTACCTCTTCTTTGCTGTTTCTCCTCTCACAGACAACTCTGTGTGAGGAGAAGGAGGCGGAAGCCGCACCATGCGGCTTTTGTTTACACTTAAGCTGTGTCCTTATTGGACACAGCTGATCACATGGTATGGGACCGATTTCATTGGTCCCATACCATGTCACGTAATCTACCGTGTCCGTCGGACTCGGCGATCATCAGGCTCGCGGGTGCGAGCTCTAGGAGCCGCGCACGAGCCTCAGATACAAGGTGCCGTTTAGAGACGGCAACCCGCTCCTGGAGGTGTCTCGTCCTGCCGTTTAATAAACAGCGGCGGCCGGACGGGAAGTGGTTAAATACACCTGCATAATCAGCTTCAGGTGTTTGGCTGACTGCAGGGTTGAGTCTCTGATTGCTGGGAGCACCGCTGGCCAGCCCTGGTACTGCAGCCCACAAGGCAGGTGAGTCCCACCATTACTGGCAAGTCCATTCCTAACAATTTGTTAGACGTGCATTTCTTTTGAATTTTTTGTTGCTATTCTGTCTCTCAGTGTTACAATACACCTACTGTTCGATTTTTAGACTGGTCATTTATTTGTGAGTGGGCAAACATCCATAATCAGCAGGGGATCAAATACTTATTTCCTTCACTGTATATATATATATATATATAGCTTGACATGCTAGACTGTTAAAGGGACTCTGCAGTGCCTTAGAAATTGATCTTAAAGTGAATTGGACATTCTACAATATTTTATAAAATCCTGTAATACAACATTATTTGAAAATTACATTTGCACTTGGGTTATCTTTACCTGGACACTTATACAATTATACAATAGGATATATTAACCACTTGCCTACCGGGCACTTATACCCCCTTCCTTACCAGGCCAATTTTCAGCTTTCAGCACTGCCGCACTTTGATTGACAATTGCGCGGTCATGCAACATTGTACCCATATGAAATTTTGATCATTTTTTTCTCACAAATAGAGCTTTCTTTTGGTGATATTTAATCGCCACTGGGCGCTTTACTTTTTGCGCTATAAATTAAAGTGCAAAAAATTTGAAAAAAAAAGTTTCTTTGTTTCTATTATAAAATTTTTCAAACAGGTATTTTTTCTCCTTCACTGATGTGCGTTAATGAGGCAGCACTGATGGGCACTGATAGGCAGCACTAAAGGGCACTGCTAGGCAGTACTAATGAGGTGGCACGGATAGGCAGCACTAATGAGGTGTCATGGATAGGCGGCACTAATATGCAGCACTGATAGGTGACACTGATGATGGGTACTGATAGATGGCACTGACTGGCATCACTGCTGGGCACTGACTGGCGGCACTGACTGGCACAACCGCTGGGCACTGACTGGCGGCACTGACTGGCAGCACTGCTGGGCTGCACTGGTGGGTGGCACTGGTGGGCAGCACTGGTGGGGTGGCACTGGTGGGCACAGGTGGGTGGCACTGGTGGGCACAGGTGGGTGGGCACAGGTGGGTGGCACTGCTGGGCACAGGTAGGTGGCACTTCTGGGCACAGGTGTGTGACACTGCAGAGTGGCACAGGTGGGTGCACTGCTGGGCACAGGTGGGTGCACTGCTGGGCACAGGTGGGCGGAGCTAGTGGGCGCACTGCTGGGCACAGGTGGGCGGAACTTGTGGGTGGCACTGCTGGGCACCGATCATCAGGGCACTGGTCATCAGTGGCCCTGATGATCGGTGCCGATCCTCGCTCTGACAACTGCCGGTTCTCGGCAGTACTTTCCTCACGATCTGACAGCGTGAGGAAAGTGCAGCCGAGAACCGGCACTTGCATTTCCCTGTGATCAGCGTGTCATTGGACACCGCTGATCACGTGGTAAAAGGCCGGTATGATCGGCCTTTTACCACATCTCGTGATCAGCTGTGTCCGTAGGACACACAGCGATCACGGAGATCGCCGGGTGCGCGCCCCCTGGGGCGCGCAGGAGAGCGCGTTCTGGGGGGACGTCATATGACGTCCACCCAGAACTGGCCGGAAAGCCCCGCAGTGAAGCCGTCATTCAGCTATCTGCGGTCGGCAACTAGTTAAGGAGACCGTTTCATTAACTTACAAAATTGCAGGTAAAGGACAGAAAAAAATAAGTATTTAACCCCTTGGTGCCAGCGCCTCCTGGCCTTTTAAGGGGTTTGTGATGCTGGGACGTGGGGTGGGATTTAGGGTCATGTGACTGCCTTGATTGGCTGTCACAGCGGTCACATGATTGGAAAAGTCCCGATCACAAACAGCGTTCGGGACCTTTCCATGAGGTGCCGGTAAATGTGCTGGGAGCACGCAGGGTTCACACTCTTAGCACGTTTGTTTACTATTGATACGCAAATATGTAGCCGCTCAGCATCAAGACCCAGCTGCCAAGAGGCCACTTATTTGCAAATTGTCAGCGTGAACAGGTTAAAATGCTTTTCTGCTTGTGTCATCATGGCCTTTCTCCTCTGGGAGTGTCTAATTATTATCTGTGCTGGCCCAGCTCTTCTGCCCCTCTCCTCATCTTCCTACATAAATCTTTTACATAGCTCCTTGAGGAAGACTGAAGGGGAATACTTTAAAGTAGCCATTCTTAACCAGGGTTCCTCCAGAGGTTGCTAGGGGTTCCCTGAATCATTGACCTCACATTTGATGGTACCTGTATAGTTCTGGGGCCAACGCCACTTGGCAGAGTCAGCAGTGATACACCAATAATCTTTTTTTTTGCAGTCTGTAAGGATTGCTTTCTGACCATCACTGTAAGGGAGGGGGGACATTCTGCCCACTGGCCACCAGTGTGAGGGGCATTTTTCCCACTGACCCCCAATGAGTTGGGGGTCCACCGAGACCTGAAATTTATTTCAGGTTTTCCATCTGTAGTAAAAGGGTTGAGAAAGGCTGCTATAGAGCTTAATGGAATTGCTGGCATCACAAGATGGCAACTTCTGGCAGCAGTCTCCGGACTTTTGGATGTCTACACAAGATGAGCTTTTACAGGTAATTAGCATACATAAAATATGTTAAATGTGCATGTAATTTTATGGGAAGATTGTTGTTGAAATGAAGGTGGTAGAAATTTTATACTGGAAATTGAACTCTCAGCATTTTTTTTATGTTAATATCAACCAAGCTTCAAAGAATCTTACTTTTGGTCAAAACAAAGAAATTATATAAAAGTAATAGTTTAAACTCTCAAAGTTTGAACTCAAAATTTTAACTCTGGGTATACTGTATTTCAAACTACGGTACCTTGCAGTATGGCTTCCCCCAATTTCTTCTACAACAGGACATTCAATTTTATCATTACTTGCTTTTATTCTTTTGAACTAAAGTATGACTGTTGATCTAAATCATGTCTAGCATTAGACCACACTTAAAACTGATCAACCAAGTGTATACCATGGTTTTACATCCTCATGTGTATAGTGTGTGTGTTTGCTCACCCTCTTGTCACTATATATGTTCTGTATAATAATAAGTAATATGGTTTCTTGTATTCAGCCAAAAAACTGACCCTCTACCAAGTACTAGCTCCAAATGCATATTCCCTTGTAGAAGATTTTGTTCCTATACTTCAGAAAAGAGTCTCATCCACACTTCATGAGGTGAGTTACCTTAACGTAGTATTGTACAATAATGCAATATTTGTCCTACAAGTGTTTTCCCACCAAGATAGAAAGAAGCTGATCAATAATTTAGCTGAGAAAAGTGGAATAAAAAGCGCTGTATCCATAAGGTAAACTTATTGGTATTGCTATCTTAAAGTATAGATGTCAATAATCTGGTTCCCAGGCAGGTGGCTTCTACACCACAGGGAACTCCATGGTCTCCTTGGCTTGTAAGGTAATGTAACAAAAATGGAAATTGAATCACCACACCACTGCTAATAAGCCCAGACACATTTTTATTCCAATAAAAGTCATGGAGATAATCCAAAAAGTAACCAAAGCATTTTGGGGGTCCAAAAACACCCCCTTCATCAAGGCTTGATTGAAATATGAATAGACTTGAAATGAACAGGACTGTTTTTGTTACATATCAACAAATTAGAACATTTTTATACTAAGAGTAAAAATCAGAGCACTCGAATATGGCGAGAAAATACAACCCCTGAAAAGTTAGCATGAGCAGTGTTACTTACTGCACTGCCATATTGTCTATTGACACTTTAGAGTCTGTCCTGTTGATACCATTTTAAGAAGGCCAGGTTGGGTGTAGGTACTGAAACATATATTGAACAGTCTGGTGTGATGAAGTCCTCAAAATGGCATGGGAACATCTTCAAAATAGCTAGAGTTTATATCCAAGTCATAAAAGTCTTTACTTGCCTTGTAGCAGGTCGGATCCCTGCAACCAGCAGTTACATCACTGGTTTTACTGGTAGTAGAGACACTTGTCAGCTAAAGACTGAAAAGTTAAAGTTAGTATTGGTAGACTGTGTTGGTGAATGGAACAAGCAGGTTGATCCAAGCAATCAAATATATTATTTAAGAACCCCAATGTATGAATATTATAGCAACATAGGTGCGTAATGGTATGCATGTCCTATTTTAATTTTTAATGCTAACAGTATAACTAGCATGTTACCCAAATAGAAAAAAATTACATGCCACTCAGGTAGGGAGGTAAAGTCCAAACTAGACCACTGTAAGTTCTGGCAGGGATAGGAAGCTCATCCTAGCTCCAAGATGCAGCAATGTCAGAAGGAAAGATCCATGGGCTGCACATCAAAGGCTAGGCCGACCTATGTGCATGAGGTGAGATGAATGGCAGCCTCAGCCTGGACTCCAACTAGGCCACACCCCCAAACGCATTTCTCTCTGCCCCTTGGAGTTTAATCATGGAAAATCCCCAAGATTAAGCTCCAAGGGACAGAGTGAAACATGTTGGGGGCGTGGCCTGGCTGAGGCTAGCATTCATCTCACCTCATGCACATGGGTCTGCCTTTGATGTGTGGCTTATGGATCTTTCCTTCTGACATTGATATAACTAGCATAATATATGAGGTATTAAAAAACAATACTATTATTGTAAAACTGTTAATTTTTTTTTGTATTTTTTATAGCGAGCAATGATGCAGTTTGAATGGCATGATGGCTCTGTGAAAAACATTCATGTGGATCCTCCATTGTTGTATGAATATCAGGTAGTGTCCCTTTTTCACCCTTATAAATTAAAAGAATGTTAGACAAACAGAACAATCAAACGTCTTTAACTGTATTTTATGGTTCTTTTGTTTATTTATTTATTTATTGTACATGTTGCATACCTGTTTATCATTTCCTCTGAAATAGTAATGTCCTGAAAAAACATATTTGTACAGAACAGACATACATATGCATTTTAACTGAACTGCCTTGTTTGGATATTTATTGTGATGATCAATTTCTATAGCGATTAAGAAAAATAATCATTTATGATAATCAAAACTGCTTGCTATCACATTCTAATTCTCGAGTGTGTTAAAAAAATCTTTGCAGCCAGTAAGCAGTCATTCCTTTTTCTCAATAGGAAAGAAAAGAATTATTTTGTAGATTGCAGTCAGATGACGCATAAATCATTTGCAGATGCTCCTTAATTTGTTTTATCAACATAAGAACACGTTTCCATTGCAACTTATTCTCAGTGAGAGAACTTTCTTTCTCTTTATATCTGGTAACCTAAAGCTGGCCATAGACGTGGCAATTTTTAGTCAGTTTCTAGTCAGTTTCAACCACTTTCAGCCTGGGTTCTCACTTCTGCGGTGTGGCATATTGCATTTGATTTGCACAGGAACCGCACCACATTCCTGTGCAATTCACATGCGAATTCTGTGCGGTGCGATTTGAGCCATACATTTTGTATGGCTCAAATCGCACCACATCCACACCAAAAAGGCGCAAGAACCTTTTTTTGGTCCTCACTAGAATCAGATTGCATGGGTATTCACATCTATGCAATCGAATTCTGCACATCGCACCGCGTTTTGCAGACCAATTTTGGGGTGTTGTTAACTTAACATACACACCTGCTGCAGTTCGCATGAACAGCGTGCGAACGTGATGTGGTACGGAAACCGCTGCGAATTCTGCACCACATCAGTGTGAACCCAGGCTTAAGCCATTTGGAATTGCACTTAATCAGAAACTAAACAAACAATCTACCACCAAGGTTGTCAACCCCCAATTATTTTTATTACTAACAAAACATGAAAAGTGTACTAACAGAGCACATTTTTAACTGATAACCTGAAATATCACAGAAACTCCTATATAAACCATATGTGAATGTTAACAAGGCTCATAACAAAATATCTACCAGTTAAAAATAAAAAGTGGATGCATACCAATGACCTCAGTGTGCTGATGACAAGCCTCACTGTCACATCTCTCCTGTGATACCACCCCCACTTTAACGCATTGCCGCTTAGTTGTAGGCAGTAGTCTGCCTGGTTTTACAATCAAAAAGTTAAACAGTGTGACAGAATATGAGCATAACTAGGGTTATGAAAGACACAGGACAACCAAGTATACAGGACAGAGCAGGGGCGGACTGACAACTCATGGGCCCCCGGGCAATAGGGGAACATGGGGCCCCTGTGTCCTTGCCCAAACTCAAAAAAGCCTATGAAAAAGGTACCAGGGCATCTCATGGGGCCCCCTACTGTCCCCGGGCCTGAGTTTCCAAATGGTCAGTCCGCCCCTGTTGAGAATCCTAGGCAAAACAGGCCAAAGAGAGAGAGAGGTGGAAGTGAGGAGGGAGGGGGGGGGAGAGAATGGGAATGGGGACAGAGAGGAAAAAGGAGAGAGAGAGAAAGGCGGACAGAGTGAGGGAGAGAGAGTAGAAAGAGTTAGAAAGGAGGAGAAAGAGAGGGAGTGGGTAGAGAGAGGAAGATGGAGAGAAAGAGGTAGTGGGGAAAGGCAGCGGGAGAGAGAGACAGAATGGGGAGAGAGATGGAGGGGAAGAGAGAGGCAGGTGGGAGAGAGAAAGGGAGTGGGGTGTGCTTGGAAAGTGGAAGAGAGGGAGTGGGGAGAGAGTAGAAAGTGGGAGGGGAGGGGGAGAGGGAGCAGTGGGAAAGGGGGAAAGAGAGTGGAAAGGGAGAGAGAGGAAGAGTGGAAAGGAAGAGAGACAGAGGGAGAAAGAGAAAGAAGGGGAATGCTGAGAGTGTGGAAAGTGGGGAGAGAGAGAGGGAGGGGGGGGGGGGGGGGGGAGAGGGAGGGGAAGAGAGTGAGCATGGGGAGAGTGGAAAGAGATAGAGAGTAAGAGTGAAAGGAGGGGTGACAAAGGAGGTGGAGAAAGAAAGGGAATGCGGAGAGAGAGGAAAAGAGGATAGAGAAAGGGAGCGGGGAGAAAGACAAGAGAGAAATGTGTCCATTCTGACATGGTGCAATATTCATGCAGTACAGACTAGAACTCTTGGCCTATAATACTGGTAAACTATTTAAACTATCATAAACTCTAGATATGTGTAAACCCATTCACTGCCGAATGGGTTTTACAATTTAGAATTCACTATGGTGGTTTTAGACAGAGAGGTAGTCTATATAGTGACTATCCAACACAGATGACTCTGATTTCTATGCACATACAGTTGTGTTCAAAATAATAGCAGTCAGACATCACTAACCTGATCAATCACTGTTTTTGGCAGAAATGAGATTTCTACATGGCAAATAATTTACTTGCAGGTGTAGTAGAGTAATAGAAATCCAACAGACCCAACAGTCATGACATGCATGCTGCTGATTCTGTGTAATTGAATCACTAATTGAAAGGGGCATATTCAAAATAATAGCAGTGTGGAGTTCTATTAGTGAGGTCATTCATTCTTTGAAAAACAGGTGGCAATTATTGCCCTTATTTAAGGAAGGAAGGCAGCAAATGTTGTACATGCTGGTTACAGTGCATTTCTCTCTGAAATTCTGAGGAAAATGGGTCGTTCCAGACATTGTTCAGAAGAACAGCGTACCTTGATTAAAAAGTTGATTGGAGAGGGGAAAACATATAAAGAAGTGCAGAAAATGATAGGCTGCTCAGCTAAAATGATCACAAATGCTTTAAAATGGCAACCAAAACCTGAAAGACGTGGAAGAAAGCGAAAAACTACCATTCAAATGGATAGAAGAATAGCCAAAATGACAAGGACTCAGCCAACAATCAGCTCCAGGAAGATCAAAGAAGGTCTAAAGTTACCTGTGAGTACTGTTACAATTAGAAGATGCCTATGTGAAGCCAAGCTATCTGCAAGAAGCCCCCGCAAAGTCCCACTGTTGAAAAAAAGACATGTGCTGAAGAGGTTACAATTTGCCAAAGAGCACATTGACTGGTCTAAAGAGAAATGGTGCAACATTTTCTGAACTGATGAAAGTAAGATTGTTCTTTTTGGGTCTAGTGGCCGGAGACAGTTTGTGAGATGACCCCCAAACACTGAATTCAAGCCACAGTACACTGTGAAGACAGTGAAGCATGGTTGTGCAAGCCTCATGAGATGGGGATGTTTCTCATACTACGGAGTTGGGCCTATTTATCGCATACCAGGGATCATGGGTCAGTTTGAATACATCAGAATACTTGAAGAGGTCATGCTGCCTTATGCTGAAGAGGAAATGCCCTTGAAAAGGGTGTTCCAGCAAGACAACGACCCCAACCACACCAGTAAACGTGCAACATCTTGGTTCCAGACCAACAAGATTGACGTTATGGAGTGGCCAGCCCAATCCCCGGATCTTAATCCAATAGAAAAAACTTGTGGGTGACATCAAAAATGCAGTTTCTGAGGCAAAACCAAGCAATAGAGAAGAACTGCGGAATGTAGTCCAATCATCCTGGGCTGGAATACCTGTTCACAGGTGCCAGAAGTTGGTTGACTCCATGCAACACAGATGTACAGCAGTTCTCAGAAACAGTGCTTATACAACTAAATATTAATTAAGTGATTCAAAGGAAAGCAAAATCTTCAAACATTTTTCAGTTTATATAGTGAATGTTTGAGTTTGTAAAGAAGAATACAAACACTGCTATTTTTTTGAACAGTCTAATATTCACTTTTCTTCAATTGTTTTAGAGGAACAACACAAATTTGCTGTATTTTTCTTCATGTTTTGATTTGGAATAGAATGTGTAGTGTTCCCAATGCATTTGTGTGTATGGATATAAATGCTATTAGAAGGATTTTGAGCTTTATTCACTTTTTTCAACACACTGCTATTATTTTGAACACAACTGTAAATCCAGCACAGTTTGCCATAACCCCAAAAGTAAGATTAAGTAGTGACCTCTAGCCTGTTCTCAGCAACTTACCTCTTCCTTAGTGTGCTCCCATGCTGTATTTTACATTTTTTACATTTGCTCAGACCAGTTGTGTCTCTGATCCTGCAAGCCACCCTTAGCGCTGGCATCTCACTCTTCTGCCTTGAACGTGGCATGCTGGTGATGTTGGAGAAGGTGGTGAGTTGCAGATAGTGTTATTAACTGCTCAAGCAGTGGTGGGGGGAGCTAGTCATTATACAACAGAGCTTCCTCCCTCCTTGTCATGCTTGTATTTTGGCTAAAATATTGTGGCTCTGCAAATCTAATGCATGAACTTCAACAGATGGGGGAAAATGGGCTTCTTTTTACAAATTGTCCATAAAAATATGTACTGTAGGCAACCCTGTCTACCACCCATGAGTTCAATCAAACACTAGAATTCAGCCAGCAGTGAAGTGAAGACTCAGAAGTAGTCTTCAACACAGTTTGATGAAAGATAAAATTAAAATGTAAAACAATGTCAATTTTGTCAAAATTGATTGAATCTGGATAATTTCAATCCCATCCATATACATTTGATATATCAAATTGCAAAAAAACAATATTTATTCTCATTAGGATTGCCGGTGGAAATGAAATTTCTGCATTGTACAAAGATCTTCAGTCTGGAAATAAAAGATAACTAAACCCAAAAAAAAAATGTAATATGTTGCAGCTTTAATTCCTTTTAATATGGTGGCAACTTCAGTTTTCATTTTTCAATTTTAAGAACATTTTTAGCAAATACAGAAAATACATGTTGATCTTACTAGAAAGGTAGTATCCTTGTCACTTAAATTGACCATAGATTACTGTTTTTTTCTTGATCAGCCATCAGGCTCAATGAAGAAATTCACACAAGGGAGGTTGATGAAGAAATCCTCCCTGCTGAGACTTTGTATTCTGACAGCAGGACTCCCCGTTGTCAGAATACACTGATCAGCATTAGCAGCTGATTGGCTTGTAGTTGGCTAATCGAGAAATAATTTTCCAACAAGCCAGTTTGACAAAATTTGATCTAATGATCGACTTCTGTCGAACAGGCATGGACAAACATGGATTGCTATTGAACTGACTGAATTTCAATCCATCTATGGCCAGCTTTACTGTGAGATGAACTGGAAGCAAAACATTGTTATCTATCATGTGCAAAATACTAATCCCCTAATCCCATTTCATAGAGTTAAAGAAAGGAAGACATGCTTAAAGTCCACCTTGGGTGGCAACCATGGATTTCTCCATAGATACATTAGAGGAGTAAGTGTAACCGTAGCCACCCAGGAACAGGAAGTGTGTTATTTTCATAATAAAAAAGGAATACTAAAAAAAGGATACCTAGAAAAAAAGAATACTAATACAGGCACCTCACCTAAGGCCTTGTAAACTGCAATATATTACATTATTGTTTTTGGGCTTAGACACACTTCAAGCTTCCCATCCCATGACTAGTCACTTGCTGACCACCAAACTGGGAAAATATGTAATTTTTTTGACGTTTAATACCGGGGTTATGGCTGAAGCTAGATGCCATACCCCAGTATTAATTTTTCCCTCAGGTGCCATACTTTCTGTTAAAAGTGATCCAAGCAGCGGATTCGCCACTGGATCATTTTTAGAAGTGGCAGGAGGGGTTGCCCCTCCTCTCACGCCACTTTCCGGTGGTTCTAGGGCTTAACTAGACTATCATGGCTCCGGGAACTGATCTGGCGCTGGAGTCATGTCATCACTTCTAGTTCTGGCGCCATGTCAAAAATGACATTTTTTTTTTTTAAAGCAAAAGATCAAAAAATGTTTTTTGATCTTTAGCTTTTAAAGGTAGAGGGGAGATTTGGGGTCTTATAGACCCCAGATTTCTCCATAAAGAGGACCTGTCATGCTGTATTGTTATTGCAAGGGATGTGTACATTTCTTACAATAGCAATAAAAGTGATCAAAAAAGAAAAATTTAAAGAAACAGTGTAAAAATAAAAAAATGTGGATGCATGTTCATGCGCAGTGGTGAACACATACGTAGGTCACACCCACATATGTAAACGGTGTTCGCACCACATGTGAGGTATTACCACGAATATCAGATCGAGAGCCATAATTCTAGCACTATAACTTCTCTGTAACTCTAAACTGGTAACCTGTAGAAATGTTTAAAGCGCCGCCTATGGAGAGTTTTAAGTACTGTAGTTTGGTGCCATTCCACAAACGTGCGCAATTTCAAAGAATGACATGATAGGTATCTATTTACTTGGCGTAACATCATCTTCAATATTTTACAAACAATTGGGGGATATATTGTGTTGTATTGTTTTTCTTTTAATTCATTAAAGTGTATGTTTTCCCAAAAAATTGCATTTGAAAAACCACTGCACAAAAACCATGTGACATACAAAAATTGCAATGACCACTATTTTATTCTCTAGGGCCTCTGCAAATATATATATATATAATGTTTGGGGGTTCTAAGTAATTTTCTAGCTAAAATTACTGATTTTTACAAAGAGTGTCAGGCAAAGGCCTGGTCCTTAAGTGGCTAGTCTAATTCATACTTTGTCCTTGGCGCTAAGCTATGTTTTTAAATGATTAGATTTAGTTCTTATGTCAATACAACCTGTTCCAAATTATTATGCAAATGGTATTTTTCTCATTTACCTAAATAATTGATGTAAATAACAGTCAGCATAATTCTCATGTTATCAACTATTAAGAGTACAATTCAAATTTTATTGAACAAACCTCCTAATGATAACAGTATTTTTTTTAAACATAAAAAACTTACAATGCAAATTATTATGCACAGTAAGTTTCAAAACACTTTATAGGTTGTAAAGAACTGAAAATTGTCATTTGTTGTGTTTGCAGCATATTTACTGAAATCAAAAGCTATTTCAATCAAACTTTTAACTTTTTAAACATTTTTTAACAGGTCACGTTACATTGTAACATAGGACCCCTTATTTGATAGCAGCTTCACAAGTCTTGCATCCATTGAACTTGTGAGTTTTTGGACAGTTTCTGCTTGAATTTGTTTGCAAGATGTCAGAATAGCCTCCCAGAGCTGCTGTTTGGATGTAAACTGCCTCCCACCCTCATAGATCTTTTGCTTGAGGATGCTCCAAAGGTTCTCAATAGGATTGGGGTCAGGGTAGGATGGAGGCCACATCATGACTTTCTCTCCTTTTATCCCCATAGCAGCCATTGATGCAGAGGTATTCTTTGCAGCATGAGATGGTGCATTGTCATGCATAAAGATGATTTTATTACGGAAAGCATAGTTCTTCCTTCTGTACCAGGGAAGAAAGTGGTCAGTCATAAACTCCACATACTTTGCAGAGGTCATCTTTACACCTTCGGGGACCCTAAATGGGCTGACCATCTCTGTTCCCATGATTCCGGCCTAAAACATGACTCCACCAGCGCCTTGCTGACGTCGCAGCCTTGTTGGTACATGGTGGCCGTCCACCAACCATCCACTACTCCATCCATCTGGACCATCCAGGTTGCACGACACTCATCAGTGAACAGGACTGTTTGAAAATTAGTCTTCATGTATTTTCCTGCCCAATGCAGCCGTTTCTGCTTGTGAGCATTGGTTAGTGGTGGCCAAATAGAAGGTTTATGCACAGTTGCAAGACTCTGGAGGACTCTACACCTTGATGTCCGTGGGACTCCAGAGGCACCAGCAGCTTCAAATATCTGTTTGCTACTATGTAATGGTATTTTAGCAGCTGCTCTCTTGATCCAATGCATGGATCTGGCAGAAGTTTTCCTCAATGTGCCTTTATCTGCACGAACCCATCTGTGCTCTGAATCAGCCACAAAACTCTTAATAGTGCGATGATCACGCTTATGTTTTCGTGAAATATCTAATGTTTTCATACCTCATCCAAGGCATTGAACTATTTCACTCTTTTCGGCAGCAGAGAGATCCTTTGTCTTCCCCATTATGCTTGAAAATGATGCTCTGCTCAATAATGTGGAACACCCTCCTTTAGTAGTTTTTCCTTAAATTAGGCTCACCTGCCAATCTAATTATCACAGGTGTCCGAGATTGTTTTCAGTGATCGAAAGAGCCCTGAGACACAATGCCATCCATGAGTTAAACTGAAAAACAAAATATTTAATCTTTGTGACACTTAAATAGAATTTGCATAATAATTTGGAACAGGGTGTAGATGCTGCAACATTCTTGCTAGAAAGATCTAAAGGTCTTTACAAAATATGAGTAACAATAGATTGCAAACTTGTAATATAATTTTTTTTACTGTGTGTATACACAGAAACAGCTAGCAAAAGTTGCTCAAACCTATGAAAAAAGAATAGACTGGCTTACTAAACGAAGTAGAAGAATTTGGGGAACTATTTGTGAAAAAAGGTATGTATGTGTGAGTAGTATTTTGTTTTCTACAGTGTCTTAAGGTGACCATAAATGTGTACCATAGGCTGCCTTGAAAAAATACTACTTTACTGGTTGCAGACTTTGGGAGTGCGACACATGCCCAAAAATCACCATCATTGTACACAGGATGTGTGTAGCACATCCAGTCTCTCTGCCCTGCTTCTGGGACCCACCTTCAGTATACAATTGTCAGCTTTGATTAATCAAAGCCAGCATTATTGTATACTCAAAGGTACTACCATTTGTAGTTTTAACTCTTTTTTGTTTTGTTTGTTCATTTGTAAATAACTTTGCAATGCTGTGTACCAGAATCATTAATTTCTTTTAAATTTAAACAGAATAAAATATGCACTTTTAATGTGCAGTAACACTATTTATTTTAAAATAACACTGCTGTAAAAATCGCTCTGGTCCATAGGCAGTGAACAGGTGTGAGAGGCAAAGCAGTTAGGCATGGTTAAATAGGCAATGTTTAACAATGGCAGCGTATCCTAAGTTAGTACAAAATACAGGGCCACTTTGAGAAAATAGTTTTTTTGATCATAAAATCTTTATTTTAGTAACAGGATAGCCAACTTTATCAGCAATACAGCTTTGATATTCACAAACTCCAAGAGACTGTCAGAGACTGCTAACATGTGAAAACAACGTTCCATACGGGCCATAGATAAGATGAAAAACGACCGAAAATCGGCCGAAAAAAAAAATCGTTAGTGCGGTAATCGGTCGGCCGTCTTTTGTGATTTTTGACCTTTTAGATTATCGGTCCTGCTGGAAAATAATCGGCTAAATTTGTCGTTCTGCCAATTTTCGTGGCAATGATGGACAAATTTGCCAATCTTTTTCCGATATTTAAAAATGCGCATGAGCAGTGACATGAAAGAAGAGGGAAAAGAAGAAAAGGAAAAAAATAGAATATGAATGAAAAGAAGAAATAGAATATGAAGAAGAAGAAGAAAAGAAGAAATAGAATATGAAGGAGAAGAAAAAAAAGAATTTCAGTCCGATATTATATTTGACATTTAAAAGTATAGCAACATTGTATCTATTTGTATCCGAATAGAAACATCTGTATCTGAAATGGATACAAATAGATACAATGTTGAAACTTTTTCTCCTTCTGCATATTCTATTTCTTCTTTTTATTCGTATTCTATTTCTTCTCCTTCTTCATATTCTATTTCTTCTTCATATTCTCTTTCTTCTTCATATTCTATTTCTTCTTCTTCTGCTTATTCTATTTCTTCTTTTTATTCTTTCTTATTCTATTTCTTCCTCTTCTGCATATTCTATTTCTGCTTTTTATTTGTATTCTATTTCTTCTTCTTCTTCATATTCTATTTCTTATTTTTATTCGTATTCTATTTCTTCTTCATATTCTATTTCTTCTTCTTCTGCATATTCTATTTCTTCTTCTTCTGCATATTCTATTTCTACTTCTTCTGCATATATTCTATATAATTGCTGGCCGTAGACGGGACGAAAATCAGCCGACCTTTTTTTACTAATAGTGGTAATGTTGGCTGATTGAACAACCGATTTTTCGTTTTTCAGAAAAAAAAAACGGCCAGTTTTCTCCTCATCTATGGCCTGCATTAGATGTCTGGGCACAGCACTGTTCTTCCATTGACATAAAATCTGTTTTGAAGACAATCCAAACCACCAGATACTCAATTACTATAAATAAATTACCCTATTCCAGTTGTACAATTTGGGGAACAATGTCCCAGTTTAGGTGGTCAATGCAGGGATGAGTATCCAAACGTTGATGGTCATTAGCTTGATGCATGTTCATCTATTGGTGGTCAGTTGGAGCAAGAACTGCCTTAGCATTGGTTGTCAGTGGGAGCAAGATGTGCCCCAATATTGGTAATCAGTAGACACAAGAATTGCCCCAGCTTTTTTGATCAATTGGAAAAGAATTTCCACAGAATTAGTGTTTAGTGGGAGCAGGATTTGCCATAGTATTAGTAGTCAATGGAAGCAAGAATTGACCCAGCATTGGCAGACAGTGGGAGCAAGGATTGCCTCAGTGATGGTGACCATGCCTCATCATTGGTGGTCAGTGATAAGAATTGCTCCAGCATTGGAGGTCAAGGGTTATGTACCTGAGGACACACACCATGTCCCTTGCCACCAGCTTTTTCTTTGTCTAGGCTGATATCAGCACTGGAACTATGTTGACATGGGTAGGAGATTATTCTGCACAAAAGGACCTGCACATTAGTGGATGTTGCTAGACTGGGGCTACGCCTAGCAATGTTATTGTTGCTGCAGAGGCAAAATGGATCCTGGTTTTACAATGAGCCTCTCCACCCCTGGCTGTGTGCAAGCTGTGGAACCATGATAGGAACCACTCTGTATTTAAAGAGCTTAAATCTGATCCAACGTTTTTTCAATCTGTCCATACTTATATTTCTGGAGCGTGCATATCTGTTCCCTGAGGAGACCCTTCTCAATACCATCCTTATTTCTGAGAAACAGTAGCTGTTGTCTGTGAAATTTCAACCCTTGCATTTCCCAACAGAAATGACTGTGGCTTCCTCTACAGTGAATATCTGCAGGTTTCATCTGGGAGATTAGTGTGTTTGTTGCTCCACTGGTCTCTTGAGAATATGTTGCTGTATTTTATCTTTAATTATGTTACATAGTATATTAATGCTAATCTCTAGATCTAAGGAATAGTTTCAAAGTGCCAAGCAGGGATGTTAGAGGTGATTAACGTAAAGCGTTAAGACTGGAAAATTGCTTGCATCAAAATAATACCCTTATATTATATAATCATTTTATGAAAATGATTCACCTTTTTTTAATTTTGATATACTTGTCATCACTAAATGTGTTTGCCTCCCAGAAATTCTAGGTAGCACCCTTCATGATTCATCGCAGGGCTGAAATTAAACCAGAGTGATCAGAAGATTTCTTAATCTTCATTTCTAACTTCTGTTCTCAGTACTTTTTTGAACTCCCCTTGTGTTTAGCTGATCGTGGTACTGTTTTTGTCTGGGAATATTATCTTTAATGAATTACAGACAGATAATGCTTACTATAAATCATTTTTTTTTTAATTTATGAGACTAATTATGGCTAAAATGTAAAAACAAAATTCTTTGCCCCACAAATAGTTACACAATTGAAAAAGAGAGGATTACCTTGGCAAAATCTTGGTAAAGGCAAAGGTTTTGCTTCCTGATGTCAGAGCTACCCTGATGACTAGTGGGTTAACCACTTGCCCTCCTGAGGATTTTCACCCCTTCCTGACCAGGCCATTTTTTGCATTACGGAGCTGCGTTATTTTAACTGACAATTGCGCGGTCATGCAACACTGCACCCAAATTAAATTTACTTGCTTTTTTGCCCACTAATTGAGCTTTCTTTTAGTGGTATTTGATCGCCTGTGCATTTTTTATGACCAATTTTAGAAAATCAAATTTCGTCATAAATTTAGGCCAAAATATATTCTGCTACATGTCTTTGCTGAAAAAAATCCCAATCCGTGTAAATTAACTGGTTTATGTGAAAGTTTTAGCGTTTGCAAATGGTGTATAGATACTTAAATGTTTTTTTTTTTTTTACTAGTAATGGTGGCAATCAGCGACTTATAGCGGGACTGCAGAGTGTTTTACATAGGGGGCCGTGTCAGTGTGCTTCACTGTAAGCACACTGCTTTGGATGGCTGTGCTGTACACAGCCATCCAAAGCAGTGTGCCCGAGCTGACAGGGAGGAGAACTGTTAGTAAACAAAACAGTTATCCTCCCCATCAGAGATCATTGGAAATCTCCATGCACCAGCGAGTAATCACTGGCCGGGACCCAGAGATTGACAGCCGCGGCATGCAAAATCACATATATATACAGTGAGGAACAGAAGTATTTGAACACCCTGCGATTTTGCAAGTTCTCCCACTTAGAAATCATGGAGGGGTCTGAAATTCACATTGTAGGTGCATTCCCACTCTGAGAGACAGAATTTAAAAAGAAAATTCAGGAAATCACATTGTATGATTTTTAAAGAATTTATTTGTGTTGCGCTGCTAAACATAAGGATTTGAACACCTGAGAAAATCAGTGTTAATATTTGGTACAGAAGCCTTTGTTTGCAATTACAGAGGTCAAAAGTTTCCTGTAGTTCTTGACCAGGTTTGCACACACTGCAACTGGGATTTTGGCCCACTCCTCCACATAGATCTCCTCTAGATCTGTCAGGTTTCGGGGCCTGGCTGTGTGCTTCGGGTCGTTGTCATGTTGGAAGACCCAGCCACGACCCATCTTCAATGCTCTGACTAAGGGAAGGAGGTTGTTGCTTAAAATCTCACAATAAATGGCCCCATTCATCCTCTCCTTAATACAGTGCAGTCATCCGGTCCCCTTTGCAGAAAAGCACCCCCAAAGCATGATGTTACCACCCCCATGCTTCACAGTAGGGATGGTGTTCTTGGGATGCAACTCATCCTTCTTTTTCCTCCAAACACGATGAGTGAAGCTTAGACCAAAAAGTTCTACTTTGGTCTCATCTGACCACATGACTTTCTCCCATGCCTCCTCTGGATCATCCAGATGGTCATTGGCAAACTTCAGACGGGCCTGGACATGTGATGACTTGAGCAGGGGAACCTTCCATGCATGATTTGAAACCATGACGGCGTAGTCTTCTACCAACAGTGACCTTTGAAACTGTGGTCCCAGCTCTCTTCATATCATTGACCAGCTCCTCCCTTGTAGATCTGGGCTGATTCCTCACCTTTTCTTATCATCAGTGATACCCCATGAGGTGAGATCTTGCATGTAGCCCCAGTCCGAGGGAGACTGACAGTTGTCTTTAGCCTCTTCCATTTTCTAACAATTGCTCCAACAGTTGATCTATTTTCACCAAGCTGCTTGGCAATTGCCCGTAGCCCTTTCCAGCCTTGTGGAGGTCCACAATTGTGTCTCTGGTGTCTTTTGACAGCTCATGGTAGTAGTTGGCATCTGACTGACTGTGGGGTGGACAGGTGTCTTTAACCGCTTGCCTACAGGGCACTTATACCCCCTTCCTGCCCAAGCCAATTTCCAGCTCTCAGGGCTGTCAGACTTTGAATGACAATTGCGCGGTCATGCAACACTGTACCCATATGCCATTTTTATCATTTTTTTGTGACAGATAGAGTTTTATTTTGGTGGTATTTAATCACCTCTGGGTTCTTTATTTTTTCTTAAACGAAAAAACCACTGATAATTTTGAAAAAAAAAAGTTTTTTCTTAGTTTTTGTTGTAAAATTTTGTAAATAAGTGATTTTTCTCCTTCACTGATGTGCACTAATGAGGCTGCAGTGATGGGCACTGATAAGCTGCACTGATGGACACTGATAGGTGGCACTGATGGGCACTGATGAGGAGGCACTGGTTGGTGGCACTGATGGGCATTGACAGGCATCACTGATGGGCACTGAAAGGCAGCACTGATATATGACACTGATAGGCGGCACTGATAGGCGGCACTGACTGGCACTGTTAGGTGGCACTGACTGGCACTATTAGGCGGCACTGACAGGCACTGATAGGCGGCACTGATGCACACTGATAGGCGGCACTGCCCGCCACTGATAGGTGGCACTGATTGGCAGCACTGATAGGTGGCACTGATTGGCATTGATAGGTGGCACTGACTGGCACTGATGGGTGACACTGAAAGGCAGCTCAGATGGGCACTGATATGTGGCATTGATGTGCACTGGTAGGCACTGATATTTGGTGTTGATGTGGCACTGGCAACTGGCACTGTTCAGCACTGGCAGCTGGCACTGATAGACACTGACAGGTGGCACTTCTGGGGCCACACTGATCATCAGGGCACACTGATCATCAGGGCACTGATGATCAGTGTACATGTCCCCTCCGTGGAATGCCAATTACAGGTTCTCCTCTCCTCTTGAGCTGTCAGCGTGACAGCTCATGAGGAGAGAAATGCCGATAACCGACATTTCCCTGTTTACATGTGATCAGCTGTGATTGGACACAGCTGATCGCATGACCGAGCCGACATCTTCGTCTCTTTCCGTAGATCGGTGATCCACTGTGTCTGAGGGACACAGCGCACCACCGATCGCCGGTGAGAATGGGAGGACATCATATGACATCCTCCCAGAACGAGAGAACCACCTTGCGCCCGTCATTGGACTATATGGCGGGCGGGCGGGAGGTGGTTAAAGAGCTCAGACAGGTGCTACTAAGTTAGATTAATGAGTGGAGCAGAGGTGGACTTTTTAAAGGCACAGTAACAGGTCTTTGAGAGCCAGAATTCTTGCTGTTTCTTAGGTTTTCAAATACTTATGTTCAGCAGTGCAAGACAAATAAATTCTTTACAAATCATACGATGTGATTTCCTGAATTTTTTTTTAAATTCTGTCTCTCAGAGTGGGAATGCACCTACAATGTGAATTTTAGACCCCTCCATGATTTCTAAGTGGGAGAACTTGCAAAATCGCAGGGTGTTCAAATACTTCTGTTCCTCACTGTATACATGTGATTTTGCACACCCATGCCGCCCTGTAGCAGTATTTCTGCTATAGGGCAGATGGGAAGTGGTTAATGACTAGAAAGCAGCAGGACTGGAGCAGAAAGAACGTATACACAGAATGTCTGAAAATAAAATAGGGAATTCCTTACACTGCAGATCCACAGGTACAGCTTCCTCTCCAACAAGGAGAACAGTGAGCATCCAAGTAGCTACATCACCAAATCTCACTCCAAATCTCCTGAGACTAGAAGTGAGAGGCACAGCGCATTAGATGTTGGACTGCAGATATACAGCTTTGAGACAAGAGGTATACTGCTATTTTCAGGAAGAATCCAAGACAGAAGGTAAATCTTTTAGGGTACTGCTTAGGCAAGAATATGTAAACCAAACATTTCATATTCCTGATATGTGCCTGCTGTACCATGTGAAAAAGGTATCCTGTTCTTTTTGTATTCCTTCATTTGTATGCAATCCCTGGTGTCCCTGCCAGTCCTTCTTTCCTATCAAAACAAGACATGAGAGCACAGTGTGGTGAGTTTTCTGGCTGTGCTGGGAGTTCAGTCTTCTCTCCTCCAATGAATAAACTTGTGCTGACATGCCCTCCCTGCACAGCCATTCACTGGGAAGACCACTGTGCTGCTGTTCCTCTATCCTCACCTAACTATGCAGCTGAGAAGAAAGGATATGGGATCACTTATTAAAAAGGGGAAAAGGTATTTATAATGTTTTTTTATATCTCTACACAAATGTTTTAACTATCATTTCTATTTTAAACTGTATGGGTTGTTTTTGAGTTCAGGTCACACTGAGATTATTTACAGCGAAGGGAGAAATAGTAAATTTACAGGGAGAATATATTTTTAGATATTTTTTAATTGTTTATATTAAATAATTTTTTGATTTGGCTTTTACATATTTACATGCTTACACTTCAATTTTAGTGTATTAAAGTGTGATTAAACCCACATCATAAAAAACTACCAGTAAATGCTGTATTACATGCTGTTCATACTCACGCAGTCACTATGGGATTCATTTTCTGCAAAAAACCTGGTTTTCTCTATCTCCCCCTTCTGTCCATGTTCCCAGTGCAGCTGGGGATTTTTCAGAGCACTGTTGGCAGCTACTGCACATGCTAATTTTTCAGTGAGGTTCAATTCTGAGTATTTCCTCCCTATCACATTTGAGTAGCCTTTGTGACTATAGAATCACACATGTGGGTGTATACACCTTGGATAAATAACAGCTCACTCCCTCTCTCCTTCATGCATGCTATCCAGCTAAACACAATAGGGGTGGCATATTACATCTTTATTGATGGAGGCTTTACCTCCTTGATATTCTAAGACAGACTGGGGGGGTGCGTGACACAGCCTGTGACTGGCAAAAATCCACCCACATCATGTTATTGCCAAAAACAATAAAGATTTGATTTCAAATATATATATGTATGTTGATTTAAAACAGATTATTGAGATTAATTATTTATTTTTACTCTTTGTATTCCAAAGGCTGTTTTTTCTTAAACTTTGAATGTGTGAACAGCAGCAGAGGACTAGAAGTTCCTCCTGCTTCTGTTTCCCTACAGACAGGCTGGGAAAGTGTTGGGTCATGTGACAGCTGTATATCCATTAGGTAAAAGGCACTTTGATGTTTTGGTATTTTTTTATTAAAATAATTACAGTGCCATCATCCACATACAGAAAGAGAATGGGTAATGAAAATGAAACTGTGTGTTTAGTATCACTTTAAATGTAAAGATTTGCAGGCTATCTGCTAAAGGGAGCTTTGCATTCCAATGCAGTCACACAGCCTCTGTTTAGCAACTTTAGAGATGAGATATCAGCCACAAAGGGAGTGCAGTGTTTTCATGGTGTCAGCAGACTAAAGCTGGCCATAGATGAATTGAAATTTGTTCAGTTCAGCAAGTCCCAGTGTGGTTTTTTTTTTTTGGATTTGGTTTTAACTAGGACCATGAGGATGGGATATTATATTGATATGGAGATGTATTTATGTTTTTGTAACAGTTGAGGAAAGTGTAAAAATAGCACTGGACCCATAGGGTAATCTCCTTGGTATTGATGTCTTAAAGTATTTATATTGATGCAATTACTACTATACTATGATGCAAGTAATCTGGTTTCTAGGCAAAAAGCTTCTATACCCCAGAGGATCTCCACGGACTCCTTGTCATATAGTGTAATGCAACAGTAATTGAAAATGAAGCGCCTAACCGCTGTTAATAGGTCCAGATCAGGGGCGGACTGACAACTCACGGGGCTCCCGGGCAATAGGGGATCATGGGGCCCCGTGTCCTTGCCCAAACTCAAAACAGCCTATGAAAAAGGTACCAGGGGCATCTCATGGGGCCCCCTACTTACCCCGGGCCCTCGGGCAGTGCCCGAGTTTCCAAATGGTCAGTCCGCCCCTGGTCCAGATACAACTTTATTCTGATTAAAGTCAGGAGAGCAATCCAAAAAGTAGCCAATGCGTTTCTCGGGTCCAAGAGCACCCCCCTTGGGCTTGATTGACATCAATGTGAATAGACTAAAAGTGAACTGGACCTTTAATGTTATTATTTCCAGAGTAATTACAAGCACAGACCATTCATTCACCTCTAGTTTTTTCACATTGTTAACGAAGCCCTCATGAAGGGGAACCCCCGAAATGCATACTTTTTGGGAATTTTCCCCCTAACTTTTATTGAAAAAAAAGTTGTATTTCAACTTCTCAGCAGTTGTGTAGCATTTCAATTGTTGTTGCTTTGTTTTTTTTTAGCTGTGATGAAGGGGGTGTTTTTGTACCCCCAAAACACATTAGGTTCTCTTTCGATTGTTCCCCTGACACTTACTGGAATAAAGTTGTTTCTGGACCTTTCAGCTGTTGATACAATAGACAGCCACCAATATGAAGAAGAAATACTGGATCTGCTGCAGGGAGTAAATAGCCTAATGAACTGTATCCTGTATCATATGGAACCTTTAAAGCCCATCCTATGAAAATGCACTGCAAGGGTTAACTACTTACTTTGTCTAGGGGAGAGGATAAGCATTTTTACTTACCTGATGCTCTGCCAACCCAGCAGGTTGTACTCCTCCTTGTTCTGATGGTTGACTGTCCGTCAGTCTCCTCTTGTTCAATGCAGGGCTATGGACCCTGTATCGGTCTTAGTGACATCAGCAACGTAGACTTGATGTCTATAGAAATGTTGCGAAGACCATTTGGCAGCAGAAAGTTTCAGGTAAGTAAATCTTTATTTCTGTGTTCCCTAGACTTAAATGAACAATTAACCCTTGTAGTGAGCGTGCAGCTATATTGCAAGGGATAATTTTAAGATTTCATGGAGTTGGGCTTTATCTCTTAGTATTCAAAAGATTTTCAAAAGGGGTTTAAATAAAATGGGTTAACTAGAAAACCACTTTTACGGGCTGACATTGAAATCGCTGATGAGAGTGGTGTGATCCATAGAGAGACGTGTTGAAGGACCAGTGTGTGAGGCTTTTTCACATTGGCATTTCTGCTTTGCCTCATAGTGGTTTACAAGAGTCCTTTTTATCTCATGCATATTACTAGATTTCACAATCTTCTTTATTTTTCTACAGGGTTATTTTGCTTGTGGATACGTCATTTGAGAATGCTATGCACATTATACATATCCAGCATTTTCTGAGACTTTTAATGGAAGAACAAATGGGAAACAAACAGTTATTTAACATTATATCGTAAGTTGTCACATGCATTAATTAAAATTAGTACTACATAATATATATATAGATATGGATATTTTTGAGTTGAGATCAAAAAGCCACACATAATATGTTGAAGGAAATCATGCCAGCTGGGCTGATCTGTCTCTTTTCTCAAAAGCTAAAGGTATTAAAGTTCTGGCATATTCAAGGACAGGGCAATGTCTCAGTGCCTAATATTTCATAAGCATCTGTCTTTCAATGTCTAGCTTTGTTCAGCTTTTGACTTCCTTTTCTATATTTCTGGGTGAAACATTGCATAGTTTTTGGAAATTACTTCCAATCATATTTGTAATTTTTGTTGCATGGAAAGGTGTTGAAATTGACTGAAAATTGCCATGTGTATGATCAGTTTTATACTGGCCATACCATATACTGTATATATATATATATATATATATATATATATATATATATATATATAATATGTTCAGGCAGCGATGAACTACATCTAACATTCACAAAACTGATCAAATAACACAAGGTAACCTAGAAATAACAGTGTGGATTGTTTCATACTGTAGTTTGTTTGTTTTTTGGAAACTGTTTTTGGTAGCTTGCTTTGATCCCTTGGATTTATTTTAAAGCTGAACTCCAGGCAGAAGAATGCAAGCAATTTAAGTACCTAATTTTGACCTGGTATCAGCCTCTTGCAATCCCCTGTTCATCAGCAATCATACTGGGAGAGGAAAAACCAGCACACAGGGCAAACTGGTTATACTGCAGTGCAAGGGACATGGTGATAGGAGGAGAGAGCAGAGTGGCAGAGTACCAAGCTTACATAGGGGTGCTGAGTCTCTTTTCACTTTTTAGTCACAGGGGGGACAGGCAAGAGAAAAATCAGGTCATCTGCCCTACCAAACAGGGCTGTGCTTTGTGCCAGAGCTGTTTAAATCTCAGGGCTTTTTTGACAAAAATACAGATTCTTTGGATGTTATTTTACAGTATTAGTGTATTTAGCTATTTGACCGAAGTTCATATTTCATGATTGAAAGTTGGCTGAAATTAGTTTGAATTGCTTAAAAATTGCCATGTGTATCACCAGCACATACTTAACACTGAATGACAAGCACACGTGGCAATTTTCAGTCTACTGCTGAGAATTTTAGTATACAGCTTGAAGTTATCTAAAGTAATGTTGGTAGGTTAATACAAACTATTTGGTGTAGCGCTGATGACATTAATATCAAATAGCGATATATATATACACAGTAAATGGCACACAAACCAAGTGAATAATTACGCAAAGCAGTTGAGTGGAAAAACATACAAATGACTCCCCTTTTTATAAAACCCCAACTGGGGGAAATATAACAGTGAATATAACGGTGAATTTGTGGTTCCCTAGCTGGAAACACAATGCACAAACAGTGCTGGTGTAACCCCACTCAATCAAGCAATAGGTGATAATGTTCATACGTAGTCCACTTCAAACAAACTGGTGTTATTATCTCTGCACATGTGAAAAAGTGACACTGGTGTTAAAAAATTCTTGGTGATATTCCTTAAGTGGTCTGAGTGCCCCTCACCTCCTTGCTCCGACCACAAGGGCCAGCTCACTTTTTGGATCAATCACGTTCTGCTCAGGAACCACCTCGTCTTAGAGAGACCGCACTGGATACCACAGTAGAGCCACTATCATCCAGACCTCCTCCAACAAATGAATGCTCTGGTATTGCCCCTCACACCAACAGGGTCATGTTCAGAAACAAAAGTGATCCTCCATAGTGTAACTCAATTTTATTGCTATAAAGTAACATTAAAAATGGCCACTCACATGATAGCAGAATGTCACAAGCCTATATCCTCATATTATGGGTGCACATGGAGTTCCAATATTGCTCTCGCGCCGGAGGTGACGTCACCGTGCACCGGAAGTCTCGTCACGGCGTACCAACGCGTTGCGTCACGAGTAACAAGTGACATTTATCAATGTTGGTAGGTTACCTTGATCCTTTCTGCTTTTTTTACTTGAAAGGATGAAATTGCCTGAAAATAACTGTGTATATGGCCAGCATTACTACAACATCACTAGCAATATGCACATTATAAAGTATGATGTGTTTCATTTGCAGATTTGGAAATGATATCCAATTTTGGAAGCCGGAAATGGTTCCTGCAACTTCAGAAAACCTGCAAAGTGCTTGGAAGTAAGTTCTTCTGGCTTATTATTTAAGAAAACTGAAAAATAATACATTGCTCTCATTCTCAAGGTGTTTGCCAGTACATTATGGCTATATGAATTTGTCATTATTATAACCCTATTGCGTTGTATACTTACAGTAGTTTCTCTCTGTTAAAGCAGAACAATAGCTAGATGAAAAAAGGCTTGCTGTAAATGAATAATTATCAATAATTTGCTATGTAAGAAAACCTTCCTAGTCCTGTAGTTGTTCCAGCACACTGCTTTCCTGCCTTGCCCCTCTTCTCCTAATCCAAATAATAAACTACTGTTACATAATATGCATTTTTTAATCCTTTCAGGCCTGGCAGTGGGTGGTGCCCTAATGGTTCACGTGAATCAGTCAACATGTGGCCTTTTGGGTTCTACTCCTGGGATGGCCTTCACTGGCTATTTCCCATAAAGGCACCCAGCTTTCCTTGACCAAATTCCCGTGGCTTATATGACCCTACATATTCAGCTAGTGCCCCCTTATCCCCAAAGTGTACAGGAAATTTCCAGAGGAAGTTCCTGTATGTTGGGAATAACATAATATCCAGACTGTTGCGTTTCTATTTTTCTGATTTACTAAACAATTATTTGATTCAGAGTTTGGTACAGTCATCCACTCTCCAGGTGGCAACACATTAGCTTGGTAACATACCTTAATCTTACCTACTAGTGGGGGAGAAGTTCCAGGCCTCCCCCAGAGGGAAAGCCTACAAACTGCAAGCTCATTTCTCCTGGCTGCAGACCAGTTCCTCCCATGACTGAGCCCTCTATTGTAGGAAATGCGCTGTAGACTGGGGTGCCATGTAGTAGCGAATTAGACAACTGCATGACTGCCATACATTACATTGCTGTACTCAGCAAACGATGCCTCCTCCTTTTACACTTTGTTGTCCGTGTGCCTCCTTAGTGATCTTAAAATAAAGGAATATGCAACCTGGTGATGTAACAGGTGATGCACAGATGCTAAAGGGGGTTGTCATCCTGCCAGTATGGGGGCCCAAACAGCATCTGATTAGCTTGAAAATGTAAGGAAACATGTACATGTGCATTAAGAAGGTGACAGGAAATCGAGGCTTAATAAATATACTACAAGACCATTTTGCACGTTGTGACAAGTAAGAGTGACATTTTGTGCATCCTGACAAAGAATTGTCTTTCTATATAAAGTTTTGCTTTAAAGTATAAATAGTGTGAGGTTGCCAATACAAGACAAAGAGGAGGGATAAAATCAGCATTGGCACTGAAGCACAGAGCCCACATTTTATATGTCATCACAGTTTTCCACACAACTTGAAGCAATAATATACTGATGTGTTGACACAACAGTGGTAATGGTAGTTACAACTACAACTAAAGGCTCCTGTATGACAACATACAGGAACAAAACAATCACCAAATCCAGTTACTATGTGATACATAAGTCTCATAAATTAAAAAAAACACTTGTTTTAGCTTCACAGAGTGAGCCAAATCCTTCTTCCTCTCTGTTTCTCATACTCCTCCACTCAGACACTTCAGCTCACAGTGGGAGGGTTTCAGCAACAAAGACAGTGTGGTCAATCCAGAAATCAGTGGGCAGGGCTAAGTGGCAAGTGGCCAGGTACTGATTGAAAAGCTACAGGTTTGTGAATCAGCAATGACAATGCTAATAGAAATACCACCTGCAAAAATTATTCATCCTACTGTAATGTAAGCAGATGCAGCCCACATGAGAGTGGCAACTATGCTTTGAATTCAAAAGCAGTGCAGCATTGTTTCCACACATCACAGGAAGCTGTATTAGGTGGACTTCACTGACAGAATCAATAAGTATTTTTGGGACCATAAAGGGGGGCTAAAAGAAAGGGCAGATGCATGTTCATGATGTTCAGGCCTGATCTGATCAGCCTAAGGTATTAATGTTGATTACCTGGTCCTTAAACTCCAGTAGTCTCATTGTGCAGTCATTCGTGCTTAGCCTCTGAAGAAAGCGGAAGAGGTACACTGCAGACATATGTAGCATTACCCCCTTAGGGGTTGCTGATGAATTACGTCCCCCTATAGTTCTGCACAGACAGGGATTTCAGCATTTTCCACACAAGCTTGCATCAGAGTGACAATATTAGTCCTTGAGCTTTTGTTTTGTGTTTTATTGAAGGGATTAGAACTTCGATAGGGTAAGGGGGGTATAGGATACCCAAGGGAACCGATAACTGAGGATAACTTCTTGAACGATTCACAAGTGTCTCCTTCTTCTTCAACACAGTCCCTGTTGGAGTGCTAGCCAGCATCTCCTAGTTGTACCACCCCAGACCCTAGATGAACTCCTCTTCACCCAGCAATCTGGAGACTCTTCTTGAGCAGGGGATCTAGCTCCTGTCCCTTTACATGAGGTGAAGAGTCACTAGTAGGGGCGAATCTGGTTTCCCACCAGAGTGCTCCTTTCCCTATCTGCCCAGGGGGTGCAGGTGTACTCACTCTGATCCTCTCTTGTACCATTTGCGGGTCGGCTGCTACTGTTAGGTATTAGCTGGGCTGCTCGATCTCTGCCATACAGGCAGCCCTTGCTCAGGGAGCCAGAGAGCTCTGAGTTTTCTGCCTCTCCAGCTCCAGGCAGGCCCCATCCCACTACGCCTCCTGGCAGCCTTCCCCCACCAGCCTCACATCTTTCTACTCCTCACACTCCTGCTACTGAGCAGACTCCTACACTTTTAAGGAAGTCCCAGCCCATTGCCAAACCTTCTGTCGGGGATTGGCTGATATCCCTCAAGAGTGCAACCAGCCACTCTTTAGATCCACCCACTGCCTCTAAGGCCATCCTCCGCAAGCCTCAGAGCAGGTGGAAATTCGAGAGGGGCAAGCCTGCAGAGTTTCTCAGCCCTGACCATAATTTGACCCCCACTGGCTATTACACCTGAGCTGCCAAGGTTGCTAGCTGGAAGGATTGGAAACTCTCTTACAGGGAAAAGATTGACCTGATTAAAAATTACTTGATCCCCGTATTTCTGTATGCCAGCTTTGTCTGTGTTTTTCCAGTGTCTCGCTATGCGAAGATTTACAGTTGTTTCTTACAGCTGTTATGGGGTGAACCACATTAAGAGTTCTGTAATCTACCTTCCCGGCAGATGGGTGGCCTAGGTATGGTCAACCCTGTGGTTTTCTTTTCTATGATGTTTTTGAAACATATTTTAGTAGCATGCTGGCAGAGGAACCACCTGGGTGGGTTAGTATTTTTCAGTACTGGTTTAGGCCTTTTCTGTAGAGCTGGGAGAATGGTGGGCCAGTGAAAAGCCTGAGGGTCCAACATGGTAAGCTCCCGACTTATGTTGCCCATGCCTGAAAATGCTTTGCAATGGTGAGTGATGGCAGTGGATATTAAGTCTCTTTCCTAGGATGGCCCTGGAGAATAGGGTTGTTGAATCTACCTTTAACAAGCCATTGGCCTTGAGTGATTGCCTAGGCCCTGTTATGAGGGAGGGTCTGCGTTTTATGGTTCTGGGGAGAATCCCTTTAAAGTTTCAGGATTTGGCCTGGCTCTCTTTCCATGGCAGACTCTATGTGAAGGGCAACCTGAAGCATCGCTTTGCGGAGAACCGTGGTTGTCCAAGAGTGGAGTGTGATGGGGTGGAGGAGATTATGGACAATTTCTTGATTCAGTGCCCCTTCAATAAAGAAGTCTACAAGCGGGTGAGTGGGGCTCTGGGTATCCCTTTTCTTTCTTGCTTGAGTTATGCGGAATAGTCTCGCTTGAGTTATGCGGAAAGGAGCCTTTCAAACTCACCGGGACTTTGATTTCGAGACACTTTTTCTAGTTAGCTTAGTAGTCCGTTACTACACATGGAATGCACGGTGTCAGGTTTGTATTTGCAAAAAATGTCCTTCCTGTTGAGGCGGTGGTGCACAACATTCTGGGTGAGGTTTGGAAGATCTGGGGTCTTGAGAACAGGTGGCTGCCGGGGAGGAATGTCAGGTCCCTGTAGCTGCTGTCTGTCAGTTTCTGAGTGAACGGCTTCTCTTTCTGTCCTTTCACATCCCCTCGATTTTTGTAAGATCAGATTTTTGAAAAAAGGCTGCATGCATGGGAAAAATATTTCTTATCTTAGCCTGAGGGTGTGTTTAGGTGGAGGTAGGGTTTGTTGAGATACAATATAAAGATAATAATAATAATAATAATAATAATAAAAATATGATTAGTTCTATTTATGTTTTTCCCAGCAAAAAAGCTGTTTCCTGTTTTTTATGCTGAAGTAAGCTATTTTTGTTTAATTGTATATATATATTTATATTTTATTTATTCTGTATATATGTAAATATGTTTTTTATTCTGTTGTTTGTAAGATTTTTAATGAACAAAAAATTACTCCCGAGCTGCTACCCATCTCCTGTCTAACCATTAGGCTCTAGCTCCCCCTAGCTAAACTAGGAGGGTGCTACATGTGTCTAAAGGCTTAAATGGATAGATCAGTAGCAATCAGGAAAGGACTTCCAAGTTCTCCAGTATCAAAAAATCTTGTCCAGCAATGTCTGTGACCCACAGATTTTGCCAAAAGTTACTGGATCAAGAGATTATTATGTACTGTCTATGGTCATCTTAAGATAGACAAAAACAGCTGCCTTCCCAATACAGACTGGTGGGGAAACGTGCCCGGATTTGTAGTGCTGAGTCCTACTAATGGAATAATCCTAAACATTTTTTTGTCTTCCAGGTGGATCCTGAACCTCCAGTGTGAGGGTGGAAGGAATGTTCTGGGTGCCATTAAAAGAGCCATTGAATTTAACTTCAATGATAGAGAAGATGAAGAATCCCAGGGACTATACTTATTTACTAGTGGTCTCCCAGATCAAGAGCTTGTGAGTGAAAAGTGATAATAAGTTGTTAGACTGCCATAGAGCAGAAAGTAGTATAAGAAAGAGTTTTATGTTTGTTGTAATTTCAACAAATTAAGCTCAAGAGTGTTTGAGATTGCTCAGAATCATGCGAGTCCTCTGCATTTAGAATTTTCTGTGTAGTGTCTAAATTTGTTCAGCATAGAAGCAGCTGTTCTCTACACTGGAGGCAGTTTGATAACATGGAGTAACTGCATGCTGACTGATTTGTACTGTTTTACAGGTGGATTCAGTGCCACCTCATGTTTCATCTTGTATAATAATGTCAGGGGCCAAATTACTTCCCAATGCCCCACATACAGAAGGATAACGCATTATATACCTGCTAGTGACACCTGTCCTGGCACTGACTACAGTGGCATTTTTGAGGGGAATACCGCTGAGCGCTTATTGTCCTCCACCAGCACTTAATATTAATTTCAGCTATTTACCAACACCTCTAGAAACTGTCCCTGTTGGTTTTGGGTTTAATAACACTTCCATATAAATACTATATACAAAATGACTCCACTGTCCAGCTTTACAACATCACATTCTCAGAAAGTTTTAGTTAGATATTGCAGTATGTTTAGTAGATTGCTATACAGATAACAAATTGTTGTCAGTAATGTGCAGATGATCTAACAGTATGCTCTTTCCTCTTCCCTGTAGCATGCAGTGTCTGCTTACTTGTCTGAAGCTACCTCTGGCTGTGATTTACAGCTTCATGTCTGCTTGTTCAGCATTGATGATGACAGCTCTGATCACATCAGTGACAGGAGTGACACAGTCTGTGTTCTACAAGATTTGGCTCATGTCACTAATGGAAGGTTTCACAGGTTTGCTGACAAAGGTAAACTTGCAGCAAGAATCCGCAGTGGAAGAAGGAACAGATTGTGAAAATGTGCTAAAATGTTTGTCCTTCGAATATACTGTATATATCATAAGCTAATAGTATGCATAATCTCTGCAGACTACAAACATAAAGCATGACATATTTCTACAACTATTATTGCAAACTTACATTTTATGTGCTGAACCTAATAGATTAAATGAAATCTAACTATGCTAAAATCTAAAATGCCATTCTATATGCAGCAGCACTCTCACTGGGAGACTGGTAACCAGTGAGATATGCTGCATGCTAATGTGTTGACAGGAAACCTGCTGATCTGAGAAGAAAGAAGAGTGAGCAGAGAGATGCCCTCATGAGTCCGCTGCTGCTCTTTCATTGTCCAACTATGGGGGGCAGAAGACTACACTGGTGTTATCTGACTGTGCTGTGTGATGGAGCTGTGTAAATCTCAGGACTGTTTGGACAGAAATGCAAATCCTTTGGCCAGTAAAACAGTGGCCCTATATGCATTTAATCTCTGTATTTATCTGTTTGCCTTTAGGTTAGCTTCATTTCACCTCTGTGCCAAACACAGACGTGTGCAAGACTTGTGGGATTTCCTATTGATCTTAGACTAGTTTATCCCAAGAGATCATTGAGTGATTTTATTGAATCAACAGGCTTTTTGTATGCATAGCATTTTACCAATCGTCTCCCTGAGCTTGTACCTACAGTCTTCCTCCCACAAAACCTACTCTCTGATTGAAAAAAACTGTGTTAGCTGCGATGATAGTGTCACCAGAATCAAAACCATTGTGAGCCAAAATTCTACTATATTGAAAGCAGCTATCACCTCTTACACTCTCATATACCTGTGTGTAATTCAACTTAAATCTTAAGACCTTGGTCGCACTGGGTGTGACCTGGCATGCGGTATGCATGCCATGCGACTTGCAAATCGCATGCCAAGTCGAATCCTATTGTCTGCAATTACAGCGGTCATATCGGTGCGGCTCCGACTTGGTCAAAGCCGTACTGATTTCTAAAGTAGTACATGCAGATGCATACACATCTGTGTCTTGCAAATCGCACCTGAAATCGGCAGGTCCCCCGACTTTGAAATGGTATGACTTCACTAAGTCACGCGATTTCAAAGTCGAGCTTGATGTGACCGGGGTGTAAATATAGTGCAGCACTTTCACATCATCACTTATATATTATAAATCATAATAAACACTAAAAAGTAAATAATCATCAAAATGTCCATAAAAAGTCTCTTAAAGAAATCTGTTTAAGGTGCTGTTTTGTATTTCACCACCTTGTGAACCACACAACTTCCAAAATAGTTTATCACCACCAGCAGATGTGCTGTCACCTGGATCCCATGGCCTTACATATTATGCATGGTCATATTAAGCTTGTGTCCCACTCTGCTGACTTTTAATATCCCAGTATCTCTGCTGATCCTTCCCGGCGGTAGAATTCTTCTATTAGATCTCCAATGCAACTCCAATCTCTTGCAGTATCCCTTTAAGGCACCCTCCAGCTCAATCCTTTGCTCAGCCACACATGCAAGAAAAGGCTAATATAGTGCTTTATCCTTCACATAAATGTATTCACTCATTACTACAATGCAGAATCACACTCACATTCAAGGGTGCTATAGTGTATCAAACTTTGCCAGCATTGGTATACATATATCAGCATACTTCAATGTATATTACCTATCTTCCATACACTTCCGTGTGTGCTTACATCATCCAATAAGCCCCTCCCCTGTGCTTCTCGTCACCAGGACACGTGACCTCCTCAGGGGGATATCATTGACCTCCCATTGCCTCATAGGCAGTTTAGCATCCTGCTCATAGTCTAGTCTTTCTACATAATATTGCCTATAATCCACTTTTCGATGGATTAATGTAGGTCTTTGTGTACTGTCAAATTGCTACTCTCTTTGTTATGTTATTATTGCCATCATCAACATCATTATAGAGAAAGCTATAGTCAATACTATATAATTAAGTCACCAATATAACTATTAAACTGTATCAGTATGTGTAACACATTGACCTATTGACAGGTATTATTGAAAGCGATGACATCACTTGTCTTGTCTCAGAGATGGAAAAGGCTGTTAACTACTCCAAAAAGGTTAGTATAGTTTTTATCTTCATTATTAACTTCAATGGAAATGTAATCTTGTTGGCTTATACCTCTGTTTAAAGCGATTGTAAACCCATACATATATCTAGTGAAGTGACTGGCTACACACACACACACACACACACAGATGAAACAACTCTTCCTTTGTAAGTTGTACCTGTTTATTTGCAGTGTTCCCTTCTCTACATATGTTCAAAGTTCTGAATTTATAAGGCTTGTCTGAGAGTTCTTTAAAAAGGGAAAGGTGGGCGGAGAGCTTAATTTACACACTGCAAAGCTCAGTGATGAGGCTGTCAATTTGCTGGAGGTCCCTACTCTGTCACCTTTTTTCTCATGGTGTCAAGAAAATTTTTCAGAAGTGATTCATGTTAATAGTAGAGGAACAAAGCAGCAGGCAGAAATGTCCTCCTAATTGAGACAAGTACACACTATAGAACAAAAAAGTGCAGCGCTACACATTCAAAAGTACTACTAAACATAAAAAAATAATATATAAAAATTATAGTGTCCAATAATGTGCAAAAAAAGTAAATAGGCATAAAGTCTTTAGTGATAAATAAAAGTTCAAATATTTTCCAGAAACAATTGTGCTTCCAAAAAAATTATATATCAAAAAAAATTATTAATACATCAAAAAAAATAGGAATAAGCTTCTTGGGGATCCACCATCACCAGCACCAAAAAATACTGCCTCTTACCAGACTTATGTGACCCCACAATTAAGTGACGGTCAAGAAAAGCATAGTGCGGATACCAAATTAGGATGACGAACTCCGTTACTGCTGACTTTGGAGGATATGGTGCACTCCATACACTGGATGTAGATAGACTCCAATAGGATCCCTCTCATTAGATTCCCAAATCCAGGCATGAGTCAAATGGTAAGTTTCTAACCAACAAGATGGCCACCGCACTCTAGTGCGTGCTGACGTCACACGTTCTGTCTCCCCCAACGCGTTTCGTCAACTATGACGTCACCATAGATGACGAAACTCGTTGGAATGAGTCAGAACGCGTGACGTCAGCACACACCAGAGTGCGGCGCCCATCTTGTTGCTTAGAAACTTATCATTTGGTTATATGGTGACTTGCTGTTTTAAGTATATCTTGATGTACGTATAATACTACGTTGTAAGGCAATACATCCTGCTAATTATACTACACCATGAGGATTCTTTTGCTTTTTGGATGATCCTCTTTGAGGATAATTCATTATTTTAGGTCTACATTTGGCAATTTATCTGAAGTATCAGTTTGGGAGCTCATGCCTTGATTTGGGAATCTAATGAGAGGGATCCTATTGGCGTCTATCTACATCCAGTGTATGGAGTGCACCCTATGCCCCTAAAATCAGCAGTAATGGAGTTCGTCATCCTAATTTGGTATCCGCACTATGCTTTTCTTGACCGTCACTTAATTGTGGGGCCATATAAGTCTGGTAAGAGGCAGTATTTTTGAGGTGCTGGTGATGGTGGATCCCCAAGAAGCTTATTCACTTTTTTTGATTTATTAATAATTTTTTTGATATATAATTTTTTTGGAAGCACAATTTTTTCTAGAAAATATTTGAACTTTTATTTATCACTAAAGACTTTACGTTTATTTCCGTTTTTTTGCACATTATTGGACACTATATTTTTTATGTATTATTTTTTATGTTTAGTCGTACTTTTGAATGTGTAGCACTGCACTTTTTTGTTTTATTAGCTTTTATGTATTGATACCTGCGATACTGTGCTGGCTGCTTCCTTTTTTCATTGTGTGATATTTAATCATATATAGCACGGAAAATTCAAATTGTTAACACACTATAGAAGGATATGCCTTGTTTATATTTCATATCAGAGGTTTACAACCAATTTAAGGCTGCATTCACAGCTAGGCGTTGAGGATTGCGGGAAGAATCACTGAGATTTTAAAATGCTGTACTAAAATGGCAAAACGCACAACACGGATTTTAGATGCCATTCATTTGAATGGCACCTAAAATCGCGGTGTGGTTCTGCCTTTATTGTCGAGCAATAAATCACGTTGCACTCGTGGCAAACCACAATGTGCGAGGCTTGTCGCCCCAAAAGGAACATGAGCTTCTGTTGGGCAGAAAGCTTTGCGCATTTCAGTTTGCCAAGATTGCAGCACGATTTATTGAGCAATAATCGCGGCAGGACCGCACCATGTTTTTAGGTGTCATTTAAATAAATGACATCTAAAATCTGCGTTGTGCATTTTGCCATTTTAATAGAGCTTTTCGAAACTGCAGGCAGAATCACAGTGATTCTGCCTAGGATTCAAAATGCCTAGGTGTGAATGCAGCTTTAAACAGAGGAGCACTGCACAAGTTGCACTAACCTATAACAGCCATCAGTTAATCATCTTTCATTGTTCACATGACAAGAACGTTAATTGGTTGCCATGGATTGTTGCACACCTTTGCTTTTTTTTAATTGGCTTATTAAATAAGTCATAGATAGATTCCAACTTACATACATATTGGTGACATGCAATTTGAATATAAACAAATTTGTTAAGTATCAGTGTTGTTTTTTACCTTGCAGTGTGCTTTTTTGGTTGAATCGTTAAAACGCCGCAATGGTAATAAAGAAGAGAACCAGATGCCCCCAGCGGAAGGATCAGTGGAGCCATATCAGAAAGAGAAATACAGGCCAAAAACACTGCCACTTCCAAAACCTACTGCTCTTACACTTGCCCGAATGGTATGTTTATCATATCAATAGTAACCTGACATAGGGGTCGATTTACTAAAGGCAAATATACTGTGCACTTTGCAAGTGCAGTTTCTCCAAAGCTTAGCAAATACGGGGAAGCTCTGCTGACTTCCATCATCCAATCATGTACAAGGAAATGCTGTTTTCTTTTTGTTTTTTTTTAATTGTCCTTGCCTGTTATTGGGTATTCTTTGTAAAATGAAGCTTTCCGTTATTTTCTAAGCTCTGGAGCAACTGTACTTGCAAAGTGCATGTCTATTTACATTTAGTAAATCAACTCCATAGTGTTTACTAAAGGACACACATTGTAAAGCAAATAACACATCCAATTCTACTTAGCACTTTAGGGCATGTTCACACTGTGCAATGCAAGTCACTCCTAGAGCACATAGAAAAGAAGTGTATTAGTTATTATACAGGATTTCTATAGTGCCAACAGTTTACGCAGCGTTTTACAATATATAGGGGAATATTACAATTACAATACAGTTCAATACAGAAGGAATAGGTGGGCCATGGTCATGGAGTTTTAAAACCTAAAGGAAGGGGAGGTGATACGAAAGGTGATAGCTGCGGGGGATGATCTGGTGGAGGTGTTTCAAGTACAGTTCTTAGGTGGAGATGGGGTAGGGTTCCCTGAATTAGTGGGTTTTCAAAGATTGCCTACAGGCGGATAGGGTGGGGGAGTTCCAGAGGATGGGAGAGGTTCTCAACAAGTCCTGGAGGTGGGCATGTGAGGAAGTTACAAGGGAGCTAGAGACAAGATGTCTTGGGAGGAGCAGAGCAGATGATTTGGACGATATCTGTGGATAAGGTTGGTGATGTAGCTAAGGGCATTGTTGTGGATGGATTTGTATGTTGTGGTTAGTATTTTGAATTTTAGCACATGGATAGTGTGAATGGGCCCTTAAAGGGCTAATTCACCTTTTCAGAACAAAGGAAAAGATGAACTAACACCGTACACCCTCTCCTTCCCTCCCTTGCACTTACCCGTGTGATTGATGAGCTGTCAGTGTCTATGGAGCCAGTGTAGAGGTTTGAGGATTTGGAATCCCTGTTCTTCTTTCCCTTCTTTCTGCAGTGCTTCCGGGACAGATCAGAGCGACGCTCTGTGTTGGCGATGACCAATCAGAATCGTTCTGATCCATACTCAGAAGAGGGGAGCAGATTGGGGATCTCTAATCCCTTGGCTACTACAACTGCGTAGGTACTGACAGCTCACCACCCACAGAGGTATGGAAAGCAAGATGCTGGGGAAGGGTATACAGTGTTAGTTCACCTTTTCAGTTATCCTGAAAAGATGAACTTACACTTAAAGTATTTTTGAAAGGATTGCAAGTTTTCTCCTGTTTTCATTCACACTCATTGAGTGACATTATACAGTCATGGCCGAAATTGTTGGCACCCTTGATATTTCTCCAGGAAATCATGTATTTCTCACGAAACGTATTGCATTAACACATGTTTTGCTATACACATGTTTATTCCCTTTGTGTGTATTGGGACAAAACAAAAAAAGGGAGGAAAGAAAGCAAATTCGACATAATGTCACACAAACCTCCAAAAATGGGCTGGACAAAAGTATTGGCACCCTTTCACAACTGCGGATAAATAAGAATGTTACAAGCATGTGATGCTCCTGTAAACTCACCTGGGGCAAGTAACAGGTGTGGGCAATATAGAAATCACACCTGAAAGCAGATAAAAAGGAGAGACGTTCACTTAACCTTTGCATTGTGTGTCTGTCTGTGCCACACTAAGCATGGACAACAGAAAGAGGAGACGAGAACTGTCTGAGGACCTGAGAACCAAAATTGTGGCAAAATATCAACAATCTCAAGGTTACAAGTCCATCTCCAGAGAAACTAGATTTGCCTTTGTCCACAGTGCGCAACATTATCAAGAAGTTTGCAACCCATGGCACTGTAGCTAATCTCCCTGGTCGTGGACGGATGAGGAAAATTGATGAAAGATTGCAACGCAGAATAGTCCGGATGGTGGATAAGCAGCCCCCAAACATGTTCCAAAGACATTCAAGCTGTCCTGCAGGCTCAGGGAGCATCAGTGTCAGCGCGAACTATCCGTCGACATTTAAATGAAATGAAACGCTATGGCAGGAGACCCAGGAGGACCCCACTGCTGACACAGAGACATAAAAAAGCAAGACTACAGTTTGCCAAAATGTACTTGAGTAAGCCAAAAGCCTTCTGGGAAAACGTCTTGTGGACAGATGAGAGACCAAGATAGAGCTTTTCGGTAAAGCACATCATTCTACTGTTTACCGAAAACGGAATGAGGCCTACAAAGAACAAAACACAGTACCTACGGTAAAATATGGTGGAGGTTCAATGATGTTTTGGGGTTGTTTTGCTGCCTCTGGCACTGGGTGCCTTGACTGTGTGCAAGGCATCATGAAATCTGAGGATTACCAAAGGATTTTGGGTCGCACTGTAGGGCCCAGTGTCAGAAAGCTGGGTTTGCGTCCAAGATCCTGGGTCTTTCCAGCAGGACAATGACCCCAAACATACGTCAAAAAGCACTCAGAAATGGATGGCAAAGAAGCGCTGGAGAGTTCTGAAGTGGCCAGCAATGAGCCCAGATCTAAATCCCATTGAACACCTGTGGAGAGATCTTAAAATTGCTGTTGGGAAAAGGTGTGTCCTTCCAATAAGAGAGACCTGGAGCTGTTTGCAAAGGAAGAGTGGTCCAAAATTCCGGGTGAGAGGTGTCAGAAGCTTATTGATGGTTATAGGAAGCGACTGATTTCAGTTATGTTTTCCAAAGGGTGTGCAACCAAATATTAAGTTAAGGGTGCCAATACTTTTGTCCAGCCCATTTTTGGGGTTTTGTGTGACATTATGTCATATTTGCTTTTCTGCCTCTGTTTTATATTTGTTCCAATACATACAAAGGGAATAAACATGTGTATAGCAAAACATGTGTTAATGCAATACCTTTTTTGTGTGAAATACTTGATTTTCAGGAAAAATATCAAGGGTGCCAACAATTTCGGCCATGACTGTATGTGAATAGTCAGCTACAATATTGGATTTTGCCTTCAAAGGCCCTGGAGGCACAAATGTGAAATGGTAACTTCTGACCCCGTCAATTTGTGGAATCCAATTTGGTGAATTGTGATCTGGAAGTATTTTGTATATGCAATGAGTATTGCAAAAATAATGATGATGTCCTTTTTAATAATGCACTAAATAAATTACCATATTTATTCAAATGTCTAGGGCATTAAGAATGATCAAGAAGGCAAGAAGGACACTAGCATGAAAGCATTGATGTGGCGACCAAATAGTGCCAAAGCTGATATCCCTCCAGGTACGGAAGCCTTGCTGAATTTTTTGTGGGTTTAGGCGTCCACAATACATCACAGTGACATTTTACTTTAAAATATACATAATTTCAAATAATTAACAAAACATTTGTCACTGAGAGCTCTGATCATAAGCTTCTCAGCCATATTGTGCTATGACGGTTATGAATGGGTCTCATTCTCTTTACTTTATTTTTATTGTGTTTTATAATGTTGACACTGGAGCTGGAGGAATGGAAGCGCCTTTCTTTCTCACAGGAAAATACCTCAGGATCAGTGATAACTACTGGTAGCAGGAAACTATTGAGAGGTTCCCCACACATGAAATGTATCTAAAACTCCCAAACAAAAATGTAATATATTGCAGCTTGCCAGTCCTTAGATATAGTGGTTCATTAGTTTCCTTTTCTGGCTTGTTTCCTTTTCTGGCTTGTTTCCTTTTATTTTCACCTGATAATCATGCCAGTAATACACTGCCTGTCTTATGGTGACAATGTTTACACACACCACTGTTTCTATGAAGAAGCAATGTTGGCACTCTAAGCTCCAGATTTCGACTACAACCACCTCCCGTTCTTATCACCATCACATAATGGAGATGTCTTCTGTAGTTCAAAGAAGATAACTGGGCAGGCTGATAACATTGTTTTAGATTTCGTTTTATTACATAGAAGCTGTAGTACAACTTCTATGAATGGCAGAGCTGGAAAATTTAGCTTCAATCAGCACTGTTACCAATCAGCTGCAGCACATATCAGTGTATTCTGACAGCAGAAGGGTCCCCGCTTGCAGAATGCAATGACACAATGGGGAGGATTCCTCCATCCATCTCGATTACATGTAAAAAAAAAACTGATACGTGTATGGCCAGCTTTAAACAGGCCATAGATGAGAGGAAAAATGGATGAAATTTGTGCTGATCATCGAATCATTCATTTTTTCTAATCATTAGTGTGCCTGCTGTGACATGCAATTTTCGTGCCGCAATCAAAAGTGCCTGATCCAACCTGCTGAGGTTTTTTTCAGAAAATCTAAACAATTGTTGACACAATCATATGAGCTATTTTCGTTTTTCGATCGACAGAACTTTCATTTTTTCAACTTGTCTATGGCCAGACTAAGTCATGTCCCTTGAGCTGATTTTTGTGTCATTTTTATTTTGAGTACACTTGGGCTTTAACATGAAAACAGAAAACAAATAGGGTCACTACATTTAAGGACCGGTAAGCTCCAATATGTAAATTTTTTGTTCCTGTGTTTAGTTATACGCTAATATTCTCCAACTACATTATTCTTTAACAAAAAAAAAAAAAGAGTAAAATATCTATATGTATTGGATGTACACTTTTAGGACTGTTTAACACTCACAGCAGAGTGCAGTGCTCTCTGAAGAGTGATCCTATTTTGGGTATTTGACAGGCTGTATATTGCCTCCTCTGCCTTATTTAACCCTACAATGCTGCACTAATGTGTTGCAATGGCATGCATTGCACACGGGTGCAGTGCAGCCCCTGAACTCAATGGGTGAGTTTGACAAGCTGGTTGTCAAACTCTGCACACCAACTTACAAAATGCCATGGCCATAAAGTAAAGCATTGTGGCCACGGCTTATGGACAGACCCTGTCTGAAAGACAGGCCTGTCTGAAAGAGACCTTAGAGATATACACACTGAGGGGGCTTTTATTGTTAATTACACTAATCATATGTGCATAACCAGATCTGCTGGACTATGGCATGTGATTAATGAATAGGTTTACATAGAATTGAAATAATATTTAGTCCTTTGATGAACCATCAGTAAAGAACATTATCTTAAATAAAGCTGGAAATAGAAAAAGATGAAACCCATTGACTTTTTTTATTTTAGCTCAAACATTTAAAGATTGGGACTTTGGCAGTGACAAGAAAATAAAACAAAAGAAACAACAGAAAGCTTCATTTGATATTTTTTATACTGAAAATGGAAGACATATAGGTAAGTGAATTATTTTTGGCAACACACTGAATGGCTTCTTTTTAACTAAATAATTCCACATATGTGAGTTCAAGTGCAGTGAGCTACATGACTGGTCATAGAGGTAAATTGGTTATTATGGTGCAAAAAAGTGCAGTTTTAAAATATTAATAATCAAAATCATTATTTTGAAAGAGCCCATCAATTAAAGTCTGTGCTCAAATAACACTAATTAAAAGAAAGTGAATCCAGTCATCGAAAGAAAAGGAAAAAACTCATACATCCAATGAGACTCGAGAGAAGCGATGACACCTCAAAATCTCTGGTGACAACAACAAGTACATAGGAGCTCTTACCGGAGCTATTGGGCTTTTTATCCATGATAGATGACACAGTGGTATTTTAACCTGTGGTTCCACTCCAACTCCATTCTCCACCAGTAGAGGCATGCAAGATATAAATACTAATAGTGCAGTATGTAAATTGGTTTAAAAACACAAAGCCATCAAAGACAATCACGGGGCTGCAGCAATCCCAATGCAATACACCATTGATTTTGAGGTGTCACCCCTTCTCTCCGGTCTCACTGGAAATGTGGGTTTTTTCCTTTTCTTTTGATGATTGGATGCTCTTTCAAAATAATAATTTTGATTACTAATGTTTTAGTGCTGCACATTTTGCACTATAACATTTGAGGTTTTGTATCCTTTACTTGTGCTAGCTGCTTTCACTATATGATTATTTAATCTAAGCCCAGAAATGTATTTGGATTTATAAGTTCTTTATTATGACATTGTAGCTAGAGTGATAATGTAATTGGGTGCTCTAAAGCAAATTTGTGCTTTGCCCGTGGAAGGAAGAGCAGCAAGTTTGCTTTAACGCCCTGATTCCTAGCAACGTATTCCCACCTTTCCTGTGCTACCCTTTTGCTCTGTTCAGCCACTGGGAATACATCTCGGCATGGAGGAGCGTGGTAATCCATGTCACAGCACTGCCACTTGGTGAATGGCCCAAGAACAGTGATACAGGGCTCAGAAAAAGCTCTGACTGGAGCAAGTCCGGACTGTCTTTCTTTGCTATAAGCAGCTAAATGGAAGAACAGGGGAGTGAGGTAAGTGTAACTAGGTGCAGCTGGGGAGGAGGTATTAATGTGAACCTTTAGCTTTTGCTCTATGTAGGTAAAGCCCAAGTTGAATTTATAGCTGAAATAAAGGCAACCAGCAAAGAATCGTTTAATACTTACCTGCCAAAGAATTTGTAATTCTGCACAATCAGTCTTCTGACTTATATCTGCCACACTGCACAGCCAGGATGATTACTACATTGTACTTTCTGGTTCAGCTTTATTGCCTCCTGGACATGGCTGGGACAAAGGATGGGTAGGAGGGGCTGCTGGCCTGGGCACAGTGGAGCAAGGGGGCAGAGAATGGATACAGTAAACCCATTGTAAAGCCATGCATTAACAGTGGGGGGAGGGATTCAGTTCAGCAACTTTGCCCAGGGCACTGGATGAACCTGTCCAGGTACTGCTCCTGGATCATCCCCTACTAAATAAACAGATGTGAACATAGGGAGCTGCATGGGGGAACTAGGGAATAAATGTGTCACCTACCTGACTGTGCATCGTGTAAGATGTGTGTGTTAATCACAAAATTGTCTGCAGAAAATATACACATATTTTTAAATGGAAAGAGAGCTTCTGTTTGATTACTCAAAAATAATACAATAATCCATTCTAAAAAGGGATGGATGCATGACAGGCTCTAACATTCTCACCTAAGAGCACAACTTAGGTTTCCTAGATATCCATTCATGGGAGAAGAGTCTAAAAGTGAAGTTTGAGCCTCATCCCACCTGGGATTACAGCTGTGGTCTCATCTGGTATGAAAGGCCTTATATAACAATGCATCAGCCTTATCCAAATTCAGTACAGCTTGGGCCTTGTCCATACTCACAAGTCTGGGAGTGTAGCTTGTGCCCCCCTCCAAAATCACAACTTGAGAATGCTGATTGGGCTTCATAAAAAATGACAGGTCTAAGGGCACTGCTTGAGCCTCACCTAGAATCACAGGTCTTGAAAGGTGGTTGAGCCTCCTCTAGAATTACAGATCCAGGGAAACTTAAAGGCATGGTTCGTCTTTACCACAAACTACCTATGCAGATAAGGGACACCTGTACTGTGCAGCATTGACCAAATTTTGAATAATGCCCTTGCTATTGTTTTAGGCTATTTGTACCTCCTGAAGATTGAATGGAACATTTCTAAAACGTTGCTAATAATGTTACTAAGCGATGCTCAGTTGTTACTGTTCACCTTTACCATCATATGCCTCCTCACCTGTGTTTTGTTTGTTTTTTTATATTTCAATGGTTTTTATTAATTTGAATTTTAAAACAGTATAAAACAGAGGCAACAAAACATGCCCACGCAGGGGCTATCAATTGCCCGATAAAAAAAAGCATAATAGAGAAAACAGTGCTCTAATTCCAACAAGGCAAAAGGTATGCCCACGCAGGGGCTAGCAATGGCACATAAGTTACAATAACATTAACGTAACTCTGACTATCACAACTAAAGACAGCTGTCCACTGTCACACCAAAAACAAACAGAAAAAGAGAGAAGGAAAGAAAAAAAAAAAACAAAAACAAAACAAAGAGCAGGGGTCCAAGAGCGCCAATAACGAACGCCAATGCCAAACGCCATTACCTCCCCATACTAGCTGTGGGGAGCGTGGGAAAGGCATATTGTAGCCACGGCTCCCATATTTTCAAACATTTACGTTGGGAGTCATTGCAGATACTCGACATCTGTTCGTTGAGCATCACAGTGGTCATACGATCCCGCACCCCCTGAAAAAGGACAAACGGACTCTTCCAGGCCTGAGAAATTGTTCTAGTGGCCGATAAAAACAAATAGGAAGCCAACTTCTGCTGACCAGCGAAGAGGCCCGGTATGGGGCAATGAAGCAAAGCATACCGAGCATCCCGGCTTATGGAGAGATGGAACAAAGTGAAAAGGAGGCCAAACACACGAGACCAAAAACGAACCAGCCTCGGGCATGACCACCAGATATGCAATACATCGCCACGATGGCCACAACCCCGAAAACATTGATCACTACAGGCAGGGTTAGCCTGGGCCAAATGAGCCGGAACCCAATACCAACGAAAAAATACCTTAAAGGCTGCTTCCAGCGTGCTCGTATTAAATGAGCATTTAGCTATGAGTGACCAGGCCTTATTCCAGTCCTCCGGATCCACAGCCATTCCCCGGTCGCGCTCCCACTGAACAACATATGAAAGAGAAGTGTGCGACGAGCATCTGTTCAGAGCTGCATAAAGAAGGAAGATAAGGTCCGGGGCACCCGTACACTGCTGGCAAAGCTGTTCAAAGGCAGATTTCTGGTATGGGAAAGCAGAAGTGCCCCGCAGCGAGAGCAGCCAATGCCACAATTGAAGGTATCTCACCTGTGTTTTAACTCCCCTGAAGCAGTAGCTGTGAGCTCAGTGGTTGAGAGCTCTCTCCTGTAATGGTGAAAGTGAACAGCAACAGCTTAGCAATGTCCTAGGTATGTAAATGGTCTACACCCATGGCAAGGGCATTATTCAACTTTGGTCAGAGGTGCGCAGTTTTTTATCTACAGACACCCTTTATCTGCATAGCTAGTTTTTTTGGTACAGGTGAACTTTCCCTTTATAACATCTAAATTACATATTTTAAAAAAAAAACATCTCTAAGCATATCAATTTAGCCTGGCAGCTTAGCTCCAAAAGATCCTGTCCCAGGAAAATAAACATCCTTCACACTTCTTCTACATTTATATTATATGATCGAGTGACAGTTTAGACTTAATGGTTATGGTTATGGCTTTGTACTGAAGTGCCATGTGTACTACGTGTACACATACAGTATATACAAAGTGCAACAGCATTTCTGACAGTAGAAAAATAAAAACATTTCACAGTGCTGGAATAAAACTTGGTATACAGAATATTATGTCTGAACAGTGTTAAAGTTGTTGTAAAACCTCACATAAACCCGGTGAAGTGACTGGCTTCAGGCGATGATCAGAGATGAAACAAATCCTCCTACATAAGTTATACCAGTTTATTTACACCCTTCATTCCCCCTACATCCATTCAAAGTGCAGAATCTACACAGGATCTCTCATCTTCAAAAAGCAGGGGTGTGGAAAGCTGAAGTTACATCAATGAGGAGAGCTCTGAGAGCTAATTGGAGAGAAGGGACACACACCCTTCAGACAGCACACAGGAACAGAGCTGAGGCTGTCAATCACAGGCTGTGTCCTCCCCTGTCACCATTTTTCTCTTGATGTCAGAAAAACTCACCACAAGTGACTTATGGTTATAGCAGAGGAACAAGGCAGTGGACAGAAATGCCACTTGTGCTCTGAACTGATACAAACATACACTATAGAGGGGTATGCTTTGTTCATATTTCATGTCTGAGGTTTACAACCACTTTAATTATAAATGGGGAAGAGTGAGAACTCCTCTTGGATTTGTATTGTTTTCAGTGTCAACATTGTGGAGATTTCCCCTCACTCCTTTCCCTGTGAAGTGAAGTGAAATCTCCCCAACAGAAACACAACAATGTAATCCTGAAAAAGTTTCTAACCTGTCCCCACTTCAGCAAATAATTAAAAAAAAATGTTTCTACTTTAACATGATCCCCATTCTGCCTTTATCCCACAGGGGTGGTGTACAAGGACTATCCAGCAACCAAAACCGTGAGGAAAAAGTATTCCCTTCATTGCTTTACCCAAAGAAGAAGAATGCTGTTCATCCAAAGCAGTAAGACATACATTATTCCTTAACTGTGATACTGATTTACAAAACTTGGATGTAAAGAGATAATCTATTGAAAAAATTTGCCATCTATACCACAAAATCTGGCAAAGATAGCAGAGGGCACTTAATTTAAGTGCTATTTTTTAAGGGTTTTTTTTCTTGCAGTTATTTTTCCAGGTTAACACTGCACCAGAGAAAGATAGCTGTGTAAATGAATGCACACAGGAACATTCTGAAACTAGAAAAAGCTACAATTTCTGGGGAAATTGTGTGAAGTGTTCTTGCCTCCACCAGTAGTCTACAACTGCAGTGGGCGGAGTAACTGGGTGGAGTGACTTGTCACTCTGCTGCCTGCTCACACACCTGGGTTCCTATGGCAACTCACTCTACAGCAAGGGCAGAGAAGAGCTGTTAAAAACAAACTGCTCCAACTTGCTCACTTCACTGGCGGTTGCCGTCTTCAAACGGTTGTAGTTTAAACATTATAAATCCTACACCAAAGAGCTTTATATTGTGAGAATCACAAGACCCAGACCTACATTTTGATGCATAGTATGTCTCTGAAATATTGAAAATGAAGGCACAGTCGCAGTTTAGAAATTGCCCTTCAAATTTGAGGTGGCTAGAGTGGAGTTTTAATGAATGTCAATGGGCGGCGTGAGTTGCAAACAAATGGTTATATTGTGAAAACTATCAGGACTATGGCTTAGCCGTGGACATTTTTAGTGGCAGCAGGGATAGCTGAACATTTTGATTTAAGATTTGTGTAGGTAGGCTTGAAAATGAGGGAGTGGTGGCAGTTTAGAAATCATGTCCTTGATTTTTCAGCTCACACTGTAGCTATTGTCAGCTCCCACTCTAGTTTTGAACATTCCGCCATTCATTCCTAAGGGACTACTTTCACCACAAAAACGCTGATATTTCGTGAACCATTGGCAAAACGTTCCACAAAGTAATAGCACACCAATTCAGGAACAATCCGCACGTTTCGGTATATTACTGTCTATGTAGTGTAAAAACTGTGGGAGGAGTTAGGGTGGTAAATTTGGCTATAATAGAATATATATGTGAGATAACAGTAAGTGGTCTTGCCATGCAAGAAAACATTGTAGTGTGCCTTCATTCACAGAACAAATCTCCTGCTGGTGAAATGTTACAATTACACAGGTCTGCAAAAAAATTTTTTTTCAAGAGCTGTTTTGGTTATTCCACGTAATCTTTATGTTTTTTGGTGCGCTGAATCCCGAAAATGACCTCCATTTTGTCATAGGACATCACGTTTCCTGACAATTTAGGTAACTATGTTAAATAAGGCAATACCTCAAAATAAATGGAAATAGACTTATTAAATTAAAGTTTTATTGCAATTTTTTCATGAAAATCATTTTTTGAACTGAAATGAGCACACCTACACACACTAAACTCGATTCTTCTTCCCTGTGAGGCTCCTCTTGGTGCATTTACGCTTGTGAGTAGCATCTGGAATGTCTCTCTGAAGCATCCAACAGTAGTCTGCCATCATTGTAATGCTCCATTTTCCCTGGTATCTCCTTTCCATCTCTTTAATGTCTTGGTGGAATCGTTCATTTTGTTCCTCACTCACAGCTCCCAAATTTTCAGGAAAGTAGTCAAGGTGGGACTGGAGGAAATGCACTTTCAAACTCATCAGGCAACCTAAAGCTTGAAATGCTTTCAGCATTTGTCCGACGATCTTTTTGTAGTGAGGATCATTGTTATTGCCTAAAAATGTCTGTACGACTTCTTTAAATGCAATCCACCCTTCTTTTTGAGGATCCGTCATGGTATGGACAAACTCTTGATCAACTATAAGCCTTCTAATGTCTGGTCCGACGAACACACCTTCCTTCAATTTTGCCTCCGACAAGCCTGGAAACTTGGTGACCAAGTATTTGAAGCATTCTCCATCTCTTGGAAGGGATTTTACGAATTGCTTCATCAATGTCAATTTTATGTGGAGAGGTGGTAGAAGAACTTTATGGGAAGGTACCAAAGTTTCTCGGAGGACATTTTTTTTCACCAACTGTTAGCACCCTCGGCTGCCAACTCTTCTTGGTCCAGTGATTTTGTCAGTCTTGACTGTCCCATAGACACAGAAAACAAGGGTATTTGGTATCCCACCCACTGGATTCTTCAGGAAAGATTAACCCCTTCTACCATTAGAAGCACAGACTCAGGGCTGAGGCTTACACATACAGCATGCTGCTGAGTATCCCAGTAGACAGACATGTCACTCAGAGCAGCACTTGTATTCACCCCATTTGCAGGGGGGGAGGGGCAGAGATTGTTTACCTGCAAATAACAACAAAGGGCCAGAAGAGAACTAGGGAAATGAGGAAATAGAATTTTTTTTTCCCTAAAACTTGCTTAGCTTATGTATATATTGCTGACCATCAGATTTACAGTGCTATATTTTTTTTCTACATAACTCGGACAACCCCTTTAAGGTTTTTTTTTTTGGCATTTTATATCTTAAATGCACTTATGTGACTTAATTAATAGTAATTTGGACTTAAAATTTAGTTAAAAAACCCATAATATAAACAAATAACCAAAAATTAAAAAAAAAATGTATACATTTGAAGACAATTTTGCATTTTGTGGCAAATCATGACATCTAGGAGTTTTTTCAATATTTTATTTGTTTTCAGCACACACCAAAATACATGGAAATGAGATGAAAATAATCAAACAGCTTTTTAGTCGCAGACCTGTGTTATTTTTTGTTTACATTCCTTATCTCAGGACAGAATTCATACTGATGTATTGGGGATCATTTACTAAAGGCAAATAGAATGTGCACTTTGCAACGTGCACTTGCATTCTCCAAGTGCAGTTGCTCCTGAGCTTAGTAAATGAGGTAAGCCTTCATTTTGAAAAGAATACCCAATCACGTGCATGGAAAATAAATAAAGCTGCATTTTGCTTGCACATGATTGAATGATGGAAACCAGAAGAGCTTCTGCTCATTTACTAAGCTCTGGAGCAACTGTGCCTACAGAATGTACTGAAAGGGGGGTGGGGGGGGGGGGGGTTTGGGGCGCGCTGGAGGTGAGGACCTTTATTTAGAATAGCATCCCAGTGCACAACTACAGTAGGTAGCAAAAGATAAGATATAGTGCTGTTGTGCTTCTGAATAGATATTCATGCAACTTTGCTAAGTATACGCTGCAGTCCTAATTTGTGAACCATAACACAAAAACAAACAAAATACCATGTGGAACGTGCATAAATTAAGTGCATTAAATTTAACAATATATGAGTAATATTGCTTCACATATACAAAGTGAATAATTGTAACATTCAGTCCCAATTCAGAAAAATAAAGTGCCCAGGTGTTGGATACTAATTGGTGAACTTCGTGGAGGAAAAAATTACAGGTGCTCCTCAGTGCTCAATCGGTGCCCCACATGGATGTGCACTCACCATTAGCCGTGGACCACCTATCTCTAGGTTGGTCTTAAGCGCCTGGTTTGGGACTAGCCCAATGCGTGATGGTAAGAATGGCATCAATATTCATTCCTGGGAATCATGCAATCTGGCTGATAGTAACCAATAGGATGATGACCAGCATGGATATAAATTAGTGTAGTTTAAAAGAGCCTTTTTAAACTTTCTCCTCTCCTCCCAGGCAGTAAACCAAGTTTCAGCATGTGACAGAAACAGAGCAAGCAAGAGCAAGCATCCCATAGTGTAAAACCATAAAAAACTTTAATGATGGGGGAGACAATTATAAGAATAAAACTCACAAGCAAAGTGTCCATAACCTGGCACTCAGTGTATTCAGCCTTGCTGCCTGTGAATAGGAACCAAGATGGCCGCCGCGTCCCAGCGTGCGTTCCAAAGGGCGGAAATGACGTCAGCGGAAGTTGCGTCATCAAACCTCGACCGGTTTCGATCAATAGATCGTCATCAGGAAGTGCCGCTGACATCATTTCCGCCCTTTGGAACGCACGCTGGGACGTGTACTCTTCAACCACCAGACTCTGACTAAACAATATACACTAATTTGTGGTATTTTTATCAATAAAATGTAACAGAATACATTTTTGGCCTAAATGTAAGAAGATTATTTATTTGCAAAATTTTATAACAAAAACTAAGAAAAAATTGGGGTTTTTTTTCTAAATTTTCAGTATTTTTTCCTTTATATAGGAAATAATAAAAAGTGTGGTGATTCAATACCGGGCAATTTTACACCTTCCTGCCCAGGCCAGTTTTCAGGTTTCAGCGCTCTCACACTTTGAATGACAATTGCACGGTCATACAACATTGTACCCAAACTAAAATTTTATCATTTTCTTCACACAACTAGAGCTTTCTTTTGGTGGTATTTAATCACCACTGGGGTTTTTATTTTTTGCTAAATTAACAAAAAAAAAACAAAAAATTTTGAAAAAAAAAAGTTTTTCTTTGTTTCTGTTATAAAGGTTTGCAAATAAATAATTGTTCTTCATAAATTTAGGCCGAGATGTATTCTGCTACATGTCTTTGGTGAAAATAACCCAAATTAGGATGTATTTTTTAGTTTGTAGGAAAGTTATAGAGTTCACAAACTATGGGATAGATCTGAATATTGATCAATCCTGAAGTACTGACAGCCAATCTAATATCTTGAGGTCCAAGAATGTCAACCAAACAGTACAGATATCCCCCAAATAACCCCTTTTTGCAAAGTAGACAGTCCGACGTACTTCATAAGAGGCATGGCGAGTTTTTTGAAGTTGTATTTTTTTTTGTCATAATTTTTCGGAAAATTAAAAAATTAAATAAATTAGTTTCACTATTTTTTTTTTTTTACATATTGTCACCAGTGCAGTACAGCGTCATCATATAACTGGCATGGCGGTGATCAGGGACACTGACTGGTGAGAGTATGAAAAAAAAAAATTATATTTTTTTTTTTATTTTTAGTTATATTTTTTTATTATTTTTTATTTTTTTTTTTTATTTTTTTTAAGATTTTTTTTCATATTTCACTATGACCAAAGTAGTACAATGTTACCATAGTAACATTGTACTACTTTGGGGAAGTGATCAGTATTTTTTTTTTTTTTTTTACATAATTTGCTTATAGCAAAGAATTACTTTGCTATAAGCAAGCATTTACCTGAATGACATCCATTCATTCAGGGTTTTTTTTGTTTTTGTTTTTTTTTTTTTTTGTATTTAATCACCACTGGGGTTATTATTTTTTTTGCTAAAATCACAAAAAAAAACAAAAATTTTGAAAAAAAAGTTTTTCTTTGTTTCTGTTTATAAAGGTTTGGCAAATAAATAATTGCTTAGCTGTGATTTAACCACAGCTAATCACATGACATGTGCATGTGATTAGCTGTGACCATTCACAGCTAGGCAGTAGTATACAATGGATGGCATGAGTGAAGCCATCCATTGTATCCAACTGTCATGTGACCTGCTGTGATTGGTCACAGCAGGTCACATGGTACCGACAACGGGGCAGATACTCAGATCTGTCATCGGCCGTGTCCGAGGTACACGGCCGGTGACAGATCGCGCCGCTCTGCAGGAGTGCAATCTGCGCATGTACGGGAGGATGCCATATGGCGTCCACCTGGAACGCTGATGACATTTGCCGCCTGCCATTCGGCCATAGGGCGAGCGGCAAATGGTTAAATACCACAAAACGAAAGCTCTATTTGTGTGAAAAAAAGATTCTAAAAAGTGTTGCATGGCCAAGCAATTGAAGTAGTTCAGCTTATCAAAGAATTGCAAACACAAATGCCTTGGTCATGAAAGGGGGTAAAGCTTCTAGAGGTCATGTGGAAGGCACCACTCTGGAGGAATTAGCATGGGGAAAGGAGTGTTTAGCCAATACAAGTGAAAGGATGGACACTGCTCAAGTGACCCCTGGTGTCCAATGTTGAGGAATGGCCTCAGCCACCGTACTGGCTATGCCGGAAGGAATTGTTAGCAGATTTAATACACTAACAAATTGAAACCAAACATTTTATAATCAGTTACATATAATCCTTTTGGGATAAAGATTTTTACAAAAAAAAATAAAAGCTGATCATTCCGAGCACCTCTGAAGTCAGTTCAGTCTAGATTGTTTGTCTTATCCATGTAAATTGATACATTCTACTGGAGAGCTTGTGCTTTTGAAATACAGACTTACTGGCTGAATCACCAGATAAAAGAAAGCAGAAAAAAAGCCTAAAAAAGAAAATGAATGCAGCCGTCACATCTAAGAATTGGTAAGCTGCAATCTAATAAATGTTTTCTTCAGGGTTTAATAACGCTTTAAACTACCACAGGCTCAAATACAATCATATTGTTGTAGTCTCTGATTATAATCTCTAGCTACATTTATATTATATAGCCAACATTTTGTTTTAAAACTGATGGACCTTTATTGTATTCTGTTTTCTAAAAGTGGCTGAAAAAGTATGGTTTGAAGAAACTGAAGTTACAGCTCACCAAGCTGGTATCCGGTCCAGATTGCACTCATCAGAAAAAGTTGGTGCCGGCATTACACAAACAGGTTTCTGCAAAATATTGCACTATTTTCCCAAGCGTGGAGATTAATGTGAGTCTTATGTTTTATGTATTTACTTTGTGATATACCATATATATTGTGGGTGACTAATATTAGTATTTGGTGTTAGATGTATCAAGGGAATCAAGCTGTATACATGCCTGAAAAAGATAAAATCTGAGAGTATATTTAAATTTTATACAAAGCCAATTTCTTTTTTTTTTAGTTTAAGGTAGAACAGGGAAGGATTAAAACTCCTGTCAGTTGTTTGCTGGTTATGTTTTAAATTTATCTTTACATCCTGTCCTGGAGATCAAACAGTAATTTAGGCCATAGACGGTTTTTCGTCCAAAAAACGAAACATTGTTCGTTCTGTAAACCGATGTTACCACCAATGATTGCGAAAATCGGATGTTTTTCACTAATTTTTCAGCATTACCGATAAATGAAAAGAGGAGGAACCCTGAAAATCGGCTGATGTCATTGCCCCACTAACAGTGCGAAAATCGGCCGATTATTCTTTCAGACGAAAAATCGGCCGATAAATGAACCATCTATGGCCTGCATAAGTGAGAGGAGATCAGTCCAAAATGAATTCATTTGTTAGGCTGGAAATAGGTGGATCTTTTTTTTTCTTCATTCATCCAGAGGGCTGATAGAAAAAAGAAACAAATAGATTCCCCCATCCACACAATCGAGGTGAATATCCTCCCGCTGAGACATTGTACTCTTTGCTGTCAGAATACACTGATCAGCAACTGTAACCTATTGGCTGCAGTGGCTGACCGAGAGAAATTTTCCAACAAGCTACAGTAGCTCATTGAGTGGGAGCGACCACACATGGATTGAATTTGGCTGGTCCATGCTGAACTGGTTGAATTTCGATCTATCTATTGCCAGCTTAAAGCTGGCCATGCAGAGAACAAATGTTTTTTAGTTCCTCATTAGGCTGTTTTCACACTGATCCGTTTTTCTTCTGCTTTTGTGTGGAAAAAAAAAAGTGGAAGAAAAACACAGGACCATGTAACTCTACGGAACTATGCACACTGATCCATTGCGGGTCCGCTGCATTTTGAAAAATCCTGCTTGCTGCATTTTTGGTGTGGTTAAAAAAGTGCAACAAAAATGCACCTCACCATTGAACTGTATGGAAAATGTGGCAAAAACGCATAAAAAAATGCCACACGGGTGCATTTTTAGTTTTTAAATCACATGTCCTATGTAACGCACTGCATCATTTTTAGCACATTTTTGCTACGGATCAGTGTGAAAGTATCCCTAACTGACTACAATTTGAGCCGTGGATGGCCCATCCCACAGGACATCTTTCAATATGAAAATCAGCCAGGCAGAAAATTGTTGGCCGAACAGCAGCTTTATCCAATCATATGCAGCGTTTGTTCAGGTATTCTGACAGCCACTGATGGTGCTGACTGTCAGAAAACAATAGCCGGCAGGGGAAGTTTGTCTGTCCATGCTGAGCAATAGAAATCTTTCAATGTATAGTCAGCTTTGGACAGTTGTCACAACAACAGGTGTCCCCATTGAAAGATTCCCTCTCATTCATGTTTTGGTAAAAACTGGAACATTTTGATTTCCCAGCTCTTTCTGTTTTGGGGACTATGGCCACAAGAAAAAATAGAGGGGGGTGGATCTCCTCAGTGTGGGATATGACTGCAATAAGACATGCAGGGGTTTTACCTATCTATCCAAAACAAAAACAATTTTGGCTATACATATATTTTAAAAAAGTCTTTTAACATACGCTTGTATTTCCAAAAATGGGGTTAATTTACTAACTCTGGAGAGTACAAAATCTGCTGCAGTCGTGTATGGTAGCCAATCAGCTTCTAACTTCAGCTTGTTCAATTAAGCTTTGGCAATAAAACCTGGAAGCTGATTGGTTTCTGTGCAGAGCTGCACCAGATTTTGCACTCTCCAGTTTTAGTAAATCAAACCCATTGTGTTTCAGCACTAAGAAATGGATTTGTCTTTAATGAGCGTCATAGAAATAGAGAGGAATTTGTTTAGTTTAATATATCCTCCCCCCTTCCTTGCATCTCCTCTACAGCTGGCCATACATGGCTTGAATTTTGACCAGTTCAATAGGCCAAATAGTGACTGCAGCCAACCATCTGCAGTCATTGTTTGAGCAGTCTAGCAGCTGGCTAGGGACCAAGCTGTTTGGTTTTGTTTCCATGGGCAGCAAGGGGATTGTGGTACAAACATCCCCCTAACTGCCCACCTAAAATATAATATGCAACTGAAAAGAGTTTACACATGGCATGCCCACAATGCTTTGCTTCATGGCCAAGGCAGACTTAACTCTGTCTGCCTGTCAAACTCTTCCATTGTCAATTGGCTCGCAGTTGTGACATTATCTCAGCACTTTCAACTCATGGTTGGAGTACGGTCAATGCATGCAAAATCCCCCATCAACCAAAAAAAATACCAGCTATAAAAAGGAATTTAGGAGATGACAGTATTGCCACAGAAAGCCTGGAAGCTGCTACTGTACTATCCTCTGAAAAACAGCCCACCACTGTTGCTGGTATGAACAAGGCTTTAGGAGTGGATTAAAAGTCTTTGGATCCAGCCCAACGAACTGATCAAGAAAAATCTTTACATGTATAGCCAGCATTGTTCCTGTTTAGTCAGCTGCCTAATTCTTGTACATGTCTGTTCTCACATTGAGTTACTACAGACTTTAGATGGTGGACACCAGTGCATGCTCAATCAGGTGGCCTCATTTTTTCATGTACATTATACTTTTTATTATGAATTGTTAATCATAGTTGCTTTTGTGGATTTAAACTTGGATCCAACCTTACTTGACATTGCAAAGGTTCTATTGTGGATAATTATTTGGCTTTCTAACATTACTGTGTGAAGGAATGCCATGGTAATTTGTGTTGGAATCATCATTTGATATGTCTGTATGCTATGTATGTGATAATAAATTAGCAGCATTTTGTGTGTTAGTTATAATTTTAGCAGATGGAGCAAATTTTAGGGGTTGTCTCTTTATCTTTTTCTTAATAATAGTGTGAAGTAGTAGCTGGCATGCCAAAGTGATCTTATTACATCTTGACTCCTAATGGAGCAGACAGTTATTTCACTAATAGAATGGATAGGTCTGGACTGTAATAGTCTTGCAGGGAAATGATTAATTCCGGCCCCATTTATTAAATTACATGCACGAGAAAGGGGTATATACAAAATCAACTATGCTTTTTGTGTGTAGTTATATAGGAGTTAGGCCCTGTTCACACCTTTGCATTTCAAAGCATGCTTTGTAAACAAAACTGCAGAGGTGTCATTAAATACAATTATTCAATGAGGCTGGTATGTTCTCTGCTGGCCAATAAACCAAAAAATGCACCTAAATGCACTACAATGGATGTTAAAAATTGCACTAAAAATGGACAAAAGCAACATGGATGCTAACCTGGCCTTTGAGATGAAGTTGTAACTTATTATATTCATAAAAAATGACCATTCGTGATATATGTGTCCGTATTGCTGTCTAGTTAAAGAAAGGATTGCATGCATATACATGACTTACCTAATTTTAAATGATTGTGCTTGTTGTCACTTACAGGGAGTGGTGAAACACCTTCAATTTCAGCAGGGAGCTATTTCACTAATAGAATGGATAGGTCTGGACTGCAATAGTCTTGCAGGGAAATTATTAATTCCGGCCCCATTTATTAAATTACATGCACGAGAAAGGGGTATATACAAAATCAACTATGCTTTTTGTGTGTAGTTATATAGGAGTTAGGCCCTGTTCACACCTTTGCATTTCAAAGCATGCTTTGTAAACAAAACAGCAAAGGTGACATTAAATACAATTATTCAATGAGGCTGGTATGTTCTCTGCTGGCCAATAAACCAAAAAATGCACCTAAATGCACTACAATGGATGTTAAAAATTGCACTAAAAATGGACAAAAGCAACATGGATGCTAACCTGGCCTTTGAGATGAAGTTGTAACTTATTATATTCATAAAAAATGACCATTCGTGATATATGTGTCTGTATTGCTGTCTAGTTAAAGAAAGGATTGCATGCATATACATGACTTACCTAATTGTAAATGATTGTGCTTGTTGTCACTTACAGGGAGTGGTGAAACACCTTCAATTTCAGCCCAGGGAGCTGGAGGAATATATTGAGCAACTGGAGAAGGTTTTGAAACGCTATATTCAGCGACTGCAGTGGCTTTTATCTGGTGATTTCTGCACCTTTTTCTTTTTTAAAGTGATTGTAAATGCAAAAGAAACAGGTTTATACTTACCTGCTCTGTGCAAAATGGAATTGCACAGATCAGCCATGAACCCCCTTTTTGTGTTGGGTCCCCCGCCAGTGCTTCTGGCTCCTTTTCTCCAGAGAAGCTGCTTCCTATGGGGGCACTCATGCCGGCTCACTCTCGCTGCCTGCGTCTATAGACACATAGCGGGGCTCAGCCCCAGCCCACGATCCCTCATTACTGGCTTTGATTGTGTAGTGGCAACTACTGGATTATATACATATATGTATCTTTTTGATATGAAGATGCATAAAACAGAATTAATACAAAGTAACAATAATGTTACTTTGTATCTCCAAATAACTCTTGTGAGCAGTGTTTACAAACGCTGATTAGAAGCTCTGTTTTTGACAGCAGTGACTGGAACTGGTTTCTGTATATACTGTACACATCAAGTGTAATTTCAACAGCTGGATATTACTAGGGGGTGCAGTATGGGGGAGGGACAGGTAATGCCACATATGCCCTGTTAATTTTGATGAAGTTGTTTGGGCATACGTACAAGTCTAAAACATAAGGTTTGTTAATATCATGTGAGTTTACTTGATTTTATTATAATAATAGATGCATTTGTTCTTTCTTAACATTCTTGTTTTGGTAAACTTTCAATCTTTGCTATATGTTGCAGGAAGTCGACAGCTGCTTGGCGTGATATTGGAGAGCAAAGTATGTATAATAATCGATTCATCCAGCTCCATGGCTCCTTTCCTACCAGAGCTGCAGAAGGGCTTGATCTCAATGCTGTGGGAACAACTAAGGGCTAGAAACATTTGGTATGTAGGAATAAATTTTGATTGCAAAATTGCTTATTGATGTGGTCATGAGTTCTTTTTTGCTAGTTGTAGAGACTGGAAATTTAAGCTAGAGCTGTTCAATCTAGAAATGTACAACTGTTTTCAGAAGAATGAGCAAAGTAGTCTGCAAGGCTCTGTCAAGTTGTGACCGTCTGATTTTGTCAAGTTTTTGTTATTGATCAAATAGTTGGGCTGATGTAAAAATCTGGAGTGATGCCCATAGCAGCCAGTCAGGTCCTTTTTAACTCTCTCCTTTCTAACTGATCTTCTAACCTACTCTAGATAATCCAAGCTGATTGGTTGTGGACCCCATGTAGTTAGTATCCTAGCAAATGTAAATCAACATTGCATTATCTAGTCCAACAAGTGCCCCCCCCCCCCTCTCTCTCTCTCTCTCTCTCTCTCTCTCTCTCTCTCCTTCTCTTTTTTTTAATTTTAATTTAATTTAATGACTGCACCATGGTCACAAATGTAAACAAGTAGATGGGATGCAGAGATGGTGAGGCTCAAATGCATGTACATTTTGGACAATCCCAATACCATACTTGTTTTTGATTTACTAAAGGCAAATAACTGTGCACTGCAAGTGCAGTCGCTCCAGAGTAAAGTTCACTTTATAAAGAATACCCAATCACATGCAAGAAAATAAGAAAACAGCACATGATTGGATGATAGAAATCAGCAAAGCTTACCTTCAACCCCACTGTGTGTTACTTTGGAACAGGTAGTTAAATAACCTAAAAGCACTAACTCTCCAGCGCCTCAAAGGGGTCAATGCCAGGAAGAAGCCTGGGAAGCAGGTGTGTGGATGACCTGTGGATAAAATCCTGGTGATGTAGCCCTCCTCAGATCTACAAAACTGGAAGAAAGCACACAGGTGGTGCAAACACCTAGTGCATTATCCAAGGTTTATTAAAATGTTTTAAAAAGACAAAAACATACTCACAAAATATGTACATGAAAAGTCTGTAAAGCCCAAAATGATGGCAGAGTGTTCCGACTGGTGGTGCAGAGGGCCTGTTGACGGGTTTCAGAGATATGTCACATCACCGAAATGCGTCAGTAGGCTGACCACACCACCAGTCGGACACTCTGCCATCATTTTGGGCCATACCTGTGGCTTTACATGTACATATTTTGTGAGTATGTTTTTTGTCTTTTTAAAACATTTTAATAAACATTTTAATAAAGCATCTGTGGGCTTTTTTCCAGCTGAATAACCTGCACCAGTGCTCCCTGCAATTTAAAGAGTTGTATTCCACTCTCACAACCTGGGCACTATCAAGCATCAATAAATATCCTCTTACTGCACACACAAAGTAATTAAATACACTTTATATAGCTACTGCTTCAATTTCAATAGTTTCTGACTATAATACAATCAATACAGCACTTAATAAATAGTGAATACATAGAAAATCAGATAAATACTCTATAATAAATAAAAGTCCATAGATATAAAATGAAATATTAGTGTCCAATAAATTCTTCTTGGTGATAAATAAATATGTATAAAAAGTCCTGATATAGGACTGCCCAAGTGTACTACTAAAAATGACCACATATGTTGTCCTCTTACACTGCCAGTATCTAATGAGATAGAGGCCAGCAAAGAATATACTTTGGTTCTGGAGGGCAAATCAGCATACTCTCTTCAGTCCTTATCCTTGGCAGTCATCAGTTAAATGAGCATGCTTTCCCATGACTAGTTCTCCATATATATATCCTGATCTTTGATAAGTGCTCTCCACAATGCGATTGGATAATACTATTGAAACATTTGTCACATCTCTGTAAAGAGGGGCTTAGGAAAATAATTATGTCTTTTCCCTGTGTTCTGTGATCTGTCTGATGTATAGGTTCAATATGATCAGCTTTGGAGAGAACATTGAGCAATGGCAGGAGTGTTTGGTGGAGGCCACTGATGAAGCATGTCAGGATGCTGTACAATGGCTTTCTAGGCTACAGCCTCGAGGAGACTCCTGTACTGTTCATGCTCTGGAGGTAAGCAGACATGGACATCCCAAACTTTACATCACCCCACTGAATGTCCTTGTTGTACAGTATATTGTACATAAATTATTACTGCGTAAATAAGGAACAGGATTTATTCTATAAAGTGTGGTATTCTTGGGATATTGCTCAAGTGTAATGGTGTTTTCCAGTGAGTCCATGATAGTCAAGGCTGTGTTTCAGGGCTTGTAAGCCCACTTTTATTAACCAAATTATTATAATGTATTGCGGATGGGCAGCACAGCGACGCCCCCACGTGCCGACTCCCGCTATGGTTGTACACAGCGGGAGTTTGAAAGCAGGTCCCAGCCAATGATTCATGGCTGGGACCTGCTGTGCAATCACAGCCCAGAGCCCTGTGTTGACAATAAACACAGGGCTCTGTACAGAGGGAACAATCTCTATTTTTCTTCTCCCTGCTTTGCAAGATTTTTAATTAAAAGCAGCAAACATTACACAAATTAACACTTGTTAGGCTCACATTTAACCCCTTGATAACCCAAGATGTTAACCCTTTCCCAGCTAGTGTCATTAGTACAGTGACAGTGTATAGTAGTCAGTTCCCACCCCGTGTCAGTTAGTGTCCGATTGCCATCCGCACTATCACAGTCTCATTATAAGTCACTGATCACTGCTATTAGTAGTATAAAAAAAAAATTCCAGTATGTATACTATAATTTGTAGACGCTATAACTTTCACGCAAACAAATAGTATACACTTATTGGGATTTTTTTTACCAAAGTCATGTAACAGTATACTTTTGCTCTAAATTTATGAAGACATTTGATTTTTTTAATTTTTTATTGGATATGCAGAAAGTAAAAAATATTTTTCTTTAAAAAAAATTCTGTCTTTTTTCATTTATATAATAAAACGTAAAAAAAACCTGGTGGTGATCAAATACCCCCAAAAGAAAGTTCTGTTTGTGTGAAGAAAATTTATATACAGTAAATGTTGTTTAGGTACAGTGTTGCATGACCGTGCAATTACCAGATAAAGTAGCGCACTGAAGAATAGAAAAAAATGGCCTGGTTATGAAAGGAGTAAAACCTTCTGGAGCCAAAATGGTTTCACACACAGAAGTTTCAGCTTCATACCACATTCAAAGCAAAAACAGAAAAAGGACAAAAAAGGTACCAAGCCTCCGGGCTCATTCCCTTCATAACCCGACTGCTCAGGCCTTGTGCCTTGGTCCCCCCAGACTAACAGCACATCTGTGCTCACATACAACAGCTTCAGCTTTCTCAGTGCTCTTTAGGAAAAGGGGAATCTCCTGGCATCCAAGCCCTCCTGTCCCCTAGCCTGGGACCTTTGACCTTTTAGGTGGAACACACCTGTCCCCTCACAGTGGCACTGTCACAATTGCCATACATGAATAATGACTAATTTACATGTACAATGTCCATACTGGCATCAGTGATAGTGATACCTCTGCTTGTTATCTATGGAGTTTATACTTGAGAGTTAGAGCAGAAGAACCAATAAACATTTTTATAAATGTGAAACAGTTAATGTAAGATAACTTTATCCAAAAAGTACTCAAAAATAAGTATCCAAACATTTTAGTATATCTTGGCATTGTAATCTATCATCCTTTTACCAATCATTTAGGCTAAAATAAGCTTTCACAAGATTCACATTCAATAGTCTTGCTCATTCATATTTCTTCATCAGTACAGTCTAAGTACTAGTACAAATACAAGTTAGTATACACATTTTGGCAACAGTACAAGGGTTCAGGTTTTCCATAATTGCAGTTTATTTTCACCCTCTTGGATTGCTGGGGGGAAACCTGTAGGCTAGATAAGAACTTTGTCTGTCAGAACCCTTAATTATATATGCAGTTTGGATGCATTTTGAACCGCATCCAATCCGCATTAAATGTAAAAAAACAATGCTTCTAATGGTGCGTGTAAACATATGTCCGATGCATTGGCGGTGCGGATTCAGTGTGGTTTGAAAAAGAATCAAGTATGATTTCTGAGCAGTGCGGTTCAGTTCAGGTGCAGATTACAGGCTAATGACTTCTATGGGAACCGTTTCTAAACCCCCTATGTGTGAACAGGATAATCCTGAGAGCTAATCCTGTCCTGAACCTGATGTAAACCTGACATGAACTAGTGAACAGTTACTGTATCAATTAGCTGTGAAATCTGAGCTTAAATCCACACCACACATTAGCAGAGCTGATTCACAGATATGTGCTGCGGATTCAAGCTCACTGTTCACAGCTAATTGATAAAGTAGTTCTTTACAGATTCATGTTAGGTTTACATCAGGTTCAGGTCAGGATTAGCTCAGGATCTTATCTTGTTCACACATGTGTGGTTTAGAAACAGTTCCCATAGAAGTCAATTGCCTTGTAAATCACACCTGAACCGGACCGCACTGCTCAGAAATCGGACATGACTCTTTTTAAAACCTCACTGAATTTGCACTGAATCTGCATCGCCAGTGCACCGGACATATGTAAACAGGTACCATAGGAAGGAATATTTTTTCAAACCGCATCCAATCCGCATACATGTGAACAGGCACTTAGAGAGAACTTCCAGGCCACATTCTTACCTTACTTCAAAAAAGAAATACCCCCAGGTATATAAGTAAATAGCTATGTTCAGGAAACTGTCTGTCCCCAGGATAAAATCTATCTTCATAAATGGTAAATACTTTTTTAACATATAAATGAGCCAATGTTTTTGATTGCTCCTATAGTAAGTTGAATTTTAACAGTAGGTTTACTGTTAATTGAAAGGAAACCTGTCAAGGGAGAGATGCTGTATTCCTCCGTATACAGCATGGATGGCAATTCACCCACTGTGGCTATTGTATTTTAACAGCTGGCTGTCAAAATACTGAAACAGTGCCTGTATGGGATTGGGTGCAGATGATTTTCAGCCAACAATTTTTTGAACTCTGCTTCTTCAATTTTTCAGTTGAGGTATGTCAGGCAGGAAGTGGCCGACATGGCCACTCACAAAGCTGATTTTGGCTGGTTTATTGGGAACCTGCTCAAATTCAAGCAGTGTATGGCCATCTTTAGTGATCCGGAAGCCATGTCTGACTACTGTAGTTAGATCAGCTTGACAACCAGGGAACTACAGTAGCAAACACTGGCGGCCTCCATATACCTCTAAACTATTTTTTTTAATGCCAAGCTTAAAAAAATATCTTGAGAAATGCCTAACCAGTATAATAATCATAATAGGGAACAATGATGACAATTGTTACATAGTTACATACAGTAGTTAGTCAGGTTGAAAAAAAGACACAAGTCTTTCTAGATAAACCCACAGAGAAAACACACACACAAATAGAAAACCTCCATATACTCAATCCTATACCCACAGTTGATCCAGAGGATCCGGAGGTCAAAATGCAAAATAAATGTTTCCATTAGCTACTACTTTAAAGTTTCTGCAACTTTAAGACACTCATATATGAATGGTTATCATTGGAAAACATGGGATACGACTTGTCATGCAACTTTGATGTCCAAAGACATATGACAAGTCGCACAAGTGTGAATGGGGTCCTATCTGAATTAAAATCATCCTTTGATATGTTGGTGTAGGTAATATATTCTATTTACAGTTACCTGTGAAGGTCTTTTTGGAGTTGTCCACATACTGTATATACAACCTCCTTCTTGTTGGAAGAACTATAGAAATCTGATGTCTTTTATCTGTGCCTAGCCATAGTTACTGAATCCTCTCACTGGATGGTTGCCACTACTATCTGGTCGTTGCTGTCTGCTTATTATATCTTCCTAATTTGTCTGAGTGCTGAAGTCTTGACAGGATATTATCAGTTTTAAAGGCAGAACAGTATCATCACAAAGCAGGGGTCACAGGGGTGCTACCTAGAGGAGGGTTTACACAATGAACAACCCAAATCTGAAATAAATTTCAGGTGGACTAATAACTTAAATTCATTTGCAATAGAAAACATCAGATCACATCAAGTTGGGTTTTGTCAACACTAGTTTTATAGTTTGCTAAAAGTATAGTATGTTAATATGTAATTCAAGAGGCACTACAGGTATATTATATTTCAGTTATGTATTTATCCAAGAGTCATTAAATTGATCTTTAAATATTGTAAATATATAATAGTAAAATTGAGTCAATAATCATAACTTCCAATAATTCTCTGCACACCAGAAATTTGGCTGAGTAAAGAAGGTGATGATTATAAATAAACAGCGCAAACATAGACCTCTGAATATAATCAATCTATAAAGTGCATAATAATACTAAATATATCATAAAAATAATATTAATAGTGAAAGTCCATCATAATAATAAACACCAAAAGTTTGTGAAGCATAAAAAATTCGTATGAAGATAAGAAATCCAAAAATTCTTCAGATGCAAAGAAAACTTCCACCTTCCACCCGTGCAAACCAACATCAATTACACTCACCAGATTTTTGGTGAATGAAACGCCTTTTAGGGATTTAAAGGGATCCTAAGCCCTCTTTCGTATCCACTCTATAGGATTCCTCACCATCAGAATAGGCTCCACCATTCAACCAGGGAGAAAAAAATCTCAGGTAGTGTGATATTGCTAATTGCTACTATTAATAAAATCAAAGATTAAGGCCACTCACATTTCAACCACTTTAAAAAGGCACATTTATTGAAACAACCTCTTCCAGATGGAAAATGAGTGATATACAGCCTCCTCAGGAATCTCACATCACAGCTCCAGGGTACAGCAGAAGCTCCACAGAGAAATCCATACACAGATCCCAAAAGATGGCCGCTGGAACGCACCACCATCTTTTGGGATCTGTGTATGGGTTTCTCTGTGGAGCTTCTGCTGTACCCTGGAGCTGTGATGTGATATCACTCATTTTCCATATGCACTTTATAGATTGATTATATTCAGAGGTCTATGTTTGCACTGTTTATTTATAATTGTCATTTTTTGTGTTTTATCACATTGCACAGCAGCAGGGTAGATCCTGTAGTAGTTTCTTTGGCGCAGGAAGAATTTTCAGTTTATAGAAGGTGATGCACTATGGACTTTAATTTACACATCAGACTTTTTTGTAAGTAGCAGTGCTTTGGAGGGGGATAAATGCACAGGTAAAGCGGTGAAGAGAGGAGGTGACACAGGAAGCTATAGCACTGCAGGCTCTAAACATTTGTGTCACTCCAAGACTCTACATTGTGGCAATCAGTATATGAATCATTTGGTGAAATTTTTCTTGAATTCTTGCCAGTATAAAGGCAAGCATTGACAATATCGCCAATAGTTCTGGTGCCCAGCATTAGGCAGACCAGCTCTCTGGTGTGCCACTGTCTGCCAATACAGGAAGGAAGAGAGGAAGAGAAGTTAAATAGCACTGCCACTGACCACTAGTGCAAGACGAAGTTAACACTGGCCAAAAATGTTGGGGTTTTCTTCTATTGTGTTCATTGACACCAATGTAGTGGGATTATTATTACAGTCACTGACACTAACACTGACACTGACACTAATGCTGGGGGTTTCTTGCTACACTCAGATACCAATGCTGTGAGTTATTATTGCATCCACTGACACTTAGTTACTATTACTGCCAATTACACAATTGATAGGGCTTTTTCACTCCCACTTTCTCATCCATGTGCATTGTGGTAAATTACAATGGGCTGCATAACTCAAAGCAAGTCACTCTAGCACATGAAAATGCACTGCTATTGTGTTGCCCTCTGAAAGTGTTGGGGGCCGCACTTCAGGCCCTCTATCATTTATTGACCACCACTGATTTTTGGGGGTAGAGCTTCTCTAGAGTTGATAACAGTAGTTAATGTCTTATTGTTTTGTGTAATTTCAGAAAAGTTTGTCTTACCTGGATGTGCAAGGTGTTTATCTGCTGACAGATGGAAAGCCAGACAACAGCTATAACCTTTTGCTGGCTGAGAAAATTCTGGGGTCTCATGGTGTCAGAGTGAACACTGTTTCATTTAACACCTCAGAGAGGTAATGTATGTGTGTATTACATATTTTTAATTTAATCCATACATAAATGAAAAATTCTTAAAATATTTTAACTTCGCTATGTGCAATTAACCATAATTCTTTAAGGATTAATTATCATCATGTTCTTCACAAGTTAATAGTGTGGATGCTTAATTGAGAAAATATGTGTAAAACCTGTATTTGTATGTTAAAAGAACACTCAGCGTATTTGCTTCATAATATCAATTTATTCATAAACCATATATATATATTTTTTTCTTTTGTTGCTATACTTGATTTAGAGCGGGCAATGAATTCCTAAAGAGGCTGGCATATCTGTCAGGCGGGAGATTCCATTCACCTCATGGACATATGGACGGCCATTTTGTTGCACATAGGATGCTAACCGAGGGGTTCACAGATGAAGATGTATGTACTATATTCTCTCCACTAATGTCTGTATATGCAAGGTTAGGATGACGAAAACAAAAATGAAGACAATTTGTAAAAGCTTTACAAATTTGATAAGTCCAAAGATTGCACACTTTGGCTGCCATTTTGTAAGGGTCTGTGGCCAACTGTATTGGGAAGTGGCAAGCTGCTCAGTAGCTCAGTTCTGGCCCTGTTCTGGGCAGACCTAATAATCACAAATGTTGCCTTAACATTTAACATTAATAATTATCATAAACACAAATATTGCCTTAACAATAAATATGACTCCCGCACCCAATCATGCTTTCTCAATGACAGTGCTCAGCCAGAGAAATAATGCTCACATTAACATAAGGATTCTATTTATAAAAGTTTTCACACAAGATTCACACATTTTCCCTAATTTAATTGTAGGTGAAATGCATGAACCTTGTGTGAAAAATGTGTGAATATTGGATGAAAACATTGATAAGTAAACCCCCTCGTGTGCAGATACCTTCCTTGGAACAGCAATACAGGATATGACATTTTTAATTCTATTTACTAAAAATTTCTATGTTTTGTGCAGGGTATCAAGCAGTCTTTCTCAACTTTTTTAAACAAGGAGATACCCTTGAAATAACTTTCCAGCCTCAGGGAACCCCTCCTAATGAGTAATATATTCACAGCTCACAGTACATTAGCATCATGTTCATTTGGAAGAACACTCCTATATTTATGGTCATTGGGAAGAATCCCCCTTACAGATAGCCAAAATTGTTTTTAGATTTGTGGTTACTTATCTGGGGGGGCAGAAATTGCTCATTGCTCAAGGAACCCTGGTTGGCCTAGCAAGAATTAGATTCTTTGCGCCTTTTCGGTTTTATTGATGGGCACTAGTCCCTGTACCTCTATCCCTAACCCCCCCCTTTTTTTTTTTTTACTGTTGCCCTTTTTCTCACTTTTTTCTTCCTGATCCTCATATCTGATATAATTTAGATTTAAAAATGTCCTTTTGGCTTAAGCTTGCATAGGTCAGATCACTGCTTATGCACCTGTATTGTGTGGTTACGAATGGTCTGTTCCAGGGGCCTTGTTTTGCACTACTGTTTTCCATGTAATTGGTTCACTAATGGTTTGAGAGTCGTACAAGATGACATGGTCCTGGATGTGCATTGACTTTTTCATTGCTGTTATTATGTACCTTATGACTGTCATCATTCCACCATGTTTGGCAGACTGCTTCCTGATGTTCTGTACCATGTACTTTGCTGAAGAGCAAAATATAAATTATAAATTTAATAAAAAAAAAGGAACCCTGGTAGAGGAACGCTGGTCTAAAGTATTATCGTCATAGAGTATTTGAAGTGCAAATAAATGCCATACAGTAATTGCACCTATTTCTCAAATTGGTTACCACACAGGATCCTGTTCTTCCAATATTTGAAGGTGATGATCTAAAAAGACTTGCTAAAGAAATAGACCAAGCTCGCCAGTTTATCACCCGAGCAAGATCATTCCGGTATGAGCTTTCTCATTTATTTTGGACTGCTAGGTTAACCTCATCCCATCCTGTATCATGAGCTGAGTAATATATGTGTTGCATTCCCATTAGTTCAAATCTTTGCATTTCTAATCAGCATGATAAAAGGACAGATTGATAAACAATGACTTCTCTAATATAAGGTCTCTTGTCCTGGAAAAGCAGAAGTTCATCTCCAAAGATGTACCTTTGGAAGAAAGTGACCTCTCAGGTAAGCCGTAGAGCACATTTCTGTGAACTATTAAAGTGAACCTAAACTCTAAATTTCTCCTAAGGTTAAGGCAAAACCTATCTCATCCATCTCTGCCCCCCCCCCCCCCCCCCCCCCCCACCACCTATTTTGGCTGCTTATGGAATAATAGCTTTCTGGTGTAATGGCCATGTTAGAAATCCTGTGCCAAATTAATGAAAGTCATGCAACAGTAATGTGATTAATTCAGGTAGTTCCTATGTGTGACACTGTTACATTTTGCTCCTATGGCTGTGACAAATTCATTAAAAGAGAAGTATTGGATTTTTTTTTTTTTTTAATTATACTTACCTAGGTGGATGCAGCATTTATCCCATGCTGCATCTGTCCCCCACTGGCTCTAAGGCTGAGAACTGAGGGAGCTGATCTCTCAGTTCTCCCCGCAGCTCTGAGCAGAGGCTGTCAGTCACCACTGTTTGCTCTGCCTCTCCAGCACTCACTGAAGCGCTGGGCTGTGGAGGGTGCAGGAGTGGCTGGCTGAGGCTCTCAACGGCTGGCTGGGAGGCTGAACCAGGTCCCGGTCTTGGCTCCTGGGTGGATCCTGACCATGTGGTCATGATTTTTCCCCAGCCTGGACCAGCTTTGTAACTTCAACCGACAGCAGGCTTTAGCTTACTGATGGCTGAAAATGGGTCACAGGAGAGCAGAACGAACTGCACTCCTGTGATCCACAAAAGAAGTACAGCTAAGCGAGCTTTGGCTGTACTTCTCCTTTAAGAAATAACTCCATATCGATGAAAAGAAAAGTGGCAATAATTAAGACCACTTCCATTTTGGAGTAAATTTTCCTGAAGCAATTTTACAGCAGATTCATGAACACCTTACCGACAGTTAAAGTGGTCCTAACGTCAAGACATTTTTTGAGTTTAATGCATTCCCTACATTAAGGTAAAAAATGTCTTACTACTTGCTTCTTCCCCTGCCTCCCAAATACTTACCTGACTCCTATCTCGATCCAGCAATATAAGTGAACCATTGGCTCCTGCTGGTGCCAATCAAATCTTGTGAAAAGGAAGCTGGGGTGGGGCTGAGCCACGCTGTGTGTGCCTATGAACGCACACAGCCTAGCTCAACAGCGCACCTGCATGACTGCCCCATAGCACACAGGAATGGATAGCATGGACAGCGCTGGCAGGGGACCGCAGAAAAGGAGGTAAGGGACCGCTCTGTGCAATAACATTGTACAGAGCAGTCAGATATAACATGTTTATTATTTTAAGAAAATAAAGAGGCTTTATAACCACTTTAAATTAATCTCGTCACAAGCAATAACATTTGTTACACAGAACAATGAGTTCCACGATACTCTTTATGAATTCCAGGGACTGTGCTTTTTCTATAAGAAAACAACTATATTTGTATTTCTTTTACAGAAGACAAAAATGGGGTTATGGCTGGAAGAATTACTTAATGGAAAGTTCAAGAGTTCAAGAGCACAACCTGAAATCTTGTTGTCTTGTACTAATTGATCTTAAAATGTTATCTTGATATGTGTTTAGTTGTATAGTATGGATATGAAACAGTACAAAGGATCATCATTATCAGATCATTCAGTTTAGCTTTGGTTAAGAAAATACTTGATTCTTTTTATGATCACAAAAGGGCTATACAGTATGTAAAAAATATTAAATCCTAATCACTCCTATGGGGTGAAAACTCATTTACCCTAATATCAGATATAGTTTTTTATATGAGACCTGTACTGAGGATATATCTGGGGTTTATTTCTTCTGTTGTTTGTCTGCACTTTGGTAAGAATCCAAACCACAGAGAAACAAAATGGAATAATTTGCATCATTATATTCAGTGGTAGAATTATCATCTATGCATTTCTGTAGATTTCAGTGTAATGCTGCTTTTACGTTTCCATTTTTTAGAACAAGTATACTTTTTTAGTGGCTTTCAGTGGCCCAGCATGCAAACCAGAAGTAAAGCACCTACAAAATGGAGCAAACCAGAAGAAACCACATGTTTTTTTTAAACTGAAACGGGCCCTCTTAGGCTGCTAATACTTAAAGTGGTTCTAAAGGCAGAAGGTTTTTTAAAATAATGCAGTCTATAAATTAAGGTAAAAACCCTTCTGTACTTCGCTCTCTCCCCACCTCCCCCCCATGCTTACCTGAGCCTGACCTCGATCCAGCAATGTGCACGAGAGCAGGAGCTCTCTCCCTCCTCACTGGACAGAGAGGCAGCAGCAGTACAGCCTGTGAGGAGAGAGAAGGGGTGGAGCTGAGCCGCACTCTGTGTGTGTGTGTGTGTGTGTGTGTGTTACTTGGCAGGGGTGAAGGACCAGGAGTTCCAGTGGGAGAAGAGGATCCGGGCAGCTCTGTGCAAAACCATTGCACAGGACAGGTAAGTATGACAATTTTTACCAGTACTTTAAGCTGGCCATATACAGGTATTTTTTTTCCATTCAGCCTGAATGAAAAAAAAAAACAGATTCCTCCATCCACACAAATGAGGTGGATGGAGGAATCTCCACTTCCAGGACATTGTATTCTGCAGGCAGCTGCACCTGCAGATCAACAAAAGCTTCCTAACATGTCCCTTCAGTTGATCAAATGATGTCAAGCAAGGACAGACATACACTGAACGAAATGTGAAATTAATTTTGATCAGTCTATGGCCATCTTAATTTCTTCTGAAAGTTGTAGTCTCCAGCCAGTGTCATACTGTCATCAGTAACCAAAAAATAAACATGCAGATCAGGAGTTCTGACTTTACTCTGCATACTACTTATCACCAAATTATTAAGAAAAGATTGAAACTAGACACAGCCTGTCAATTAACATTTTTACAAGGAGGCTACCATTGCCAGCAATATATAGATGCAACAACTAGAGCCCATTCCCAAAATTTTAGTTTTATAAATATGCATTTTGCTTTTCGTTTGTAAGCTGGGCCATTGAAAACAATGAGTATGCACCTTCTAAAAACCACAGGGAAAAAACATTAAGCTGCATTTTGCTTAAATGCAACCCACAGAAATTTTTGCTAACCCACAGATCTACATAGATGGAAACTGTACAAGCTTTTCCTTACTGTGTCTGTATGGTTTGATTTTTTTACTGAACCACAGGCAAACCAAAACGTTGGAAATGAGCCCTTGACAGTGTCCTCATTTACCTTCCTACTCAGAAAGCCACCAACATGTTTTATCTTTTAAACCTGCTTTGACCGTGGGTAAACATATTAATATATGAAAAACTCTTATTTGTATGGGCACCAGATATGTTATAGCTACACATGTAAATATCCTCTTATGGTAGCTCAACCCATCAACAAAATTCACTTGATTGCAGCTCATGGTACATAGTGATCAAAATGATATTGTGACATGTCAGGAATTTATTAATGCAGACTTAAACAGCTATGGATAGGTATACTTTAAAATTGTGCATTGTGAGATCTGGACTTAGCTCAGTCCCCAGCTGCTATAAGTGGTGTGATTTTTAGACCTACCATACAGATGCTTACAGTCTGCCTGATTCCAGAAAGAAGCCAAGACCTTGGGTTTCCTTGAAGGATATTGCACCAAGTGCTGAGCATTGCGGAATGCCCCTCCTCTCTATAGATAGACGTATATATTGCATAACATGGAATTTCAGACATTTTCCTTTTTTAATAGAGTAGCAAAGGATTAAACAAAGCAAATAAAGTGTGTTATTGTTATCTGTGTCTCAGCTGGGGAGACTTCCCCATATTTCCTGTCTTACTGAGATTTCTTCTCCCTAATGTCATCAGGAAATACCTTTAATAGAAACACAGACTGTAATAAAATTTGACAAAAATTCTGTATCTTTCCCATTCTATTCAAAACAAATAAAATGTAAAAAGGCAACTAAGGTCTTGCTTAACATGCATTCTTGGTACATCACCAGTGATTTCTGTTCACTGCTCTGGGAATACAGATCAGTTGTCAATGCTGATAGCATCACATGGAACATTATATGCCACTAAACACGTCTTTCAACCTCCATTCATCTTTCCATTGTGTGCTAACCTTAAAAGGCATCCTTTGATCCCTAGCTTCACTGTCTCAGAGATTCCCCAATACAACAGTAATCATTAGCTAAAGGTACCAGTGTTTGCATACCTGTAAAATTATAGTTTTGTGCCTTCGAATATATATGCAGTATATGTATACTTTAAATATAATATATAATTAAAATATTTTATATTGGTATATGTAAATAAAGTATGTTTTGTAACAGCAAGCCACCTTTGTGTTTTATGTATTTTGTTTTACTTTTTTTCATATGAAATGATCCGGCTCGTATTAAAGTGGCTGAAATAAGAGATATTTGTCACTCACAGCAAACAATCATATTGTTCTCTTCCTGTTTTTATTAAAAGAAAGAGAGAAACTGATGGTCATGGATAGCAACACATTTAAAAAGTACCTCCACTTTTTAGAGAAAAAAACAATCCCCTCTGGGTGATCAATATATATTGCAGGAATTTCAACAAACTTTGTAGCAGAGTTCTACCTGTTTTTGGTTTGTGGTGCTCAGATTCAGTGTAGTTCCATTATAAGAAAAAGCTATATGTTCCTTTATGTCTTTGGAATACTGATTCCTGAATATCAGTGTATGTGTTTAATATAATCAACTGATGCACTTGTGATGTTCGAATGAGGAATGTTGCAGAGTCTACATCCCTTTAGATGTAATTAACTCTTAGGGAGTATCTCACCAAACATATAATTCCTTGCAGAAGATGCCTAAAATTTGACTTGTATCTTAGTGTAGACATTTGGGAAAATGAGTGAGCCAACCACACAAGCAGGAGATTACATTTCTGGGAAAGATCCATGTACTAACTGTGTACATAAGGTATGCAGGTTGTCACATTGCATTGACCTTTACTGAATATTACAGTGGTGCAGATTAAAAAGAAAAGATAATTTGGAATAAACAAGAGCATTCATATGGTGGTCATTCTATGGATTCATGCATGTACATAATTTCTTGTCCTCTCTAGCTTTTCCAATATGGATTTCAAGAAGAAACCCATGAGGCACCTTCATCTGAGTCCTATTGTTATTTTTTCAGCTTCAACATTGGATAGTGTATCTGATTTCCCCTTTCTCCATTGTGAAAGCAGCCTTCGAAAACATGTATTTGCATTCTCCCAAGTCACCAGGACTTATCAATGTCAAAGCATGGTTGACAATAGCAAAATGTACCTTAAGCACAACTATCCTCGAGTCAGCATATTAGGTTCTTTTCAGGTATTGGGTTCCTACCCACATATTTCATGCAAACCCTCATTGCAGTGACAGGTGCTTTTGGGGCTGTGGACAGCATGGAGATATTCTGCATATCCAGTGGGTCCTCAATTGCTTGGATTTTTTCTAAGAATCTTTGATTTACTCCAAACACTATTCCACTTACCAATCCATAAGTATGCTAAGTCAGCTCTATTGCATTGCCCGATCTCAGGCCTTTTCTCATATCAACAAAAACTGGCAACCTGTTTATTTTTGGCTGCCAAACAGGCCATAGCCAAAGCCTGGAAGAACCCTCTGTCCCTTTCAGAAAGTGAAAGACTGTATGACCACATTAATGCCTAATAAAAAAAATGCCCAGTATCTTAAACAACTTCCATTCTAAATTTTTCAACATATAGGAACCATGGCTTAATTATGCTTTCCCATCTCTACATCCTTTTAGTTTAAGCCACCTATAATATGTTATCTAGCCTGCCCCTGAGTCTGTGGGGACCACCTTTACTGCATATCTTTCTTTACCCTGCTTTTTTCCTTTTCTATTCTTGCTCGCCTTTGACTTTCTTTACTCTTTATTGCATTGCCCGATCTCAGGCCTTTTCTTATATCAACAAAAACTGGCAACCTGTTTATTTCTGGCTGCCAAACAGGCCATAGCCAAAGCCTGGAAGAACCCTCTGTCCCCTTTCAGGAAGTGAAAGACTGTATGACCACATTAATGCCTAATAAAAAAAATGCCCAGTATCTTAAACAACTTCCATTCTACATTTTTCAACATATAGGAACCATGGCTTAGTTATGCTTTCCCATCTCTTCATCCTTTTACTTTAAGCCACCTATAATATGTTATCTAGCCTGCTCAAGTCTGTTTCTATTCTTGCTCGCCTTTGACTTGCTTTACTCTTTCCATGTTCCTTGTCTCCTGTGGTCAAACTTGGATTCTGAGATGTTCTGCCCTAATCGGGGTCTAAAGTTAGTTGTGCAAACTTCATGACTGAGCTCCCAGACCATTCTATTGTGTTGATTTGAGAATGTTCTAACTCTTATCTGTTTAAATACTTCCTTCAGTTATGATGTTATTCCTTTTCCTGAAAATAATAAAAAAAAATTAATGTACTGAAAAGGAAAAGTCATTTTTAATAATATTAAATTAAAATATGGCTTGTGTAGCAATTGTATAT